CACGGAGATCCCTCGCTGGGGCGAGCTGTCTAGGGCGGGGGTTGCTATCTTTGATCTTGACTATGATGCTATTCTTGCTGCCATGTATGCTGTGTCTACTAGTGATGAGGGTGACTGTTACCTGTGTGTTCCGCCTGACCCGGGCATTGGTGAGGCTGCTGCTCTAGGTGCTGGTGAGGCTGCCGCTCTAGGTGCTAGTGAGTCTGCTGCCCCAGGTGCTGGTGACTCTGCTCTCTCAGGTACCACGTCGGCTCAGGCCTCCCACACCTTCACCCTTGACTCGAGTGCTTCCCGCTCCTTCTTTCGAGACCGCACCACAGTCTTCCCCTTGCGCAGCAAGGGTGAGGTCACTGGGGTGTTGATCGACTGGATCCGCGCTGCTCGTCTCCAGCTCAGAGAGAGTTTCGGCTCTGACTTTCCTGTTCTGCGTCTGCACTCCGACAGAGGCGGAGAGTTCTCCTCTGACCTTCTGCGAGCCTTCTGTCGTGCACGAGGCATCCGCCAGACGTTCACGCTTCCGGCCTCTCCACAGCAAAATGGGATTGCTGAGCGCCGCATTGGCATGGTCATGGACGTCGCCCGTACGTCCATGATTCAGAATATTATGTTTCTCTAGTCTGCAGTGGGGTACTCTATAGTGAGTACAGCCCTTTTAGGGTTTGCTATATGTATCCCAATGTTTGCTAGTGAACCCCCTCTCTCTCTCATTCATTCTCGTTCTAAGTTTCTCACATGATCCATGCGGCTGCCCCCCATTTTTTGTGGCCGTTCGCGGTTCAGTACGCGGCGCATCAGATCAACCTTCAGCCCCGGGTCTCCATGCCGGAGACCTCCCCTGCTCTGCGGTGGACGGGGAAGGTTGGCGATGCGTCTGCGTTCCGTGTTTGGGGATCTCGGGCGTTTGTCCGCGACTTGTCTGCGGACAAGCTGTCCCCCCGTGCTGTTCCCTGCGTCTTCCTTGGCTTCCCCCCTGACGCGCCTGGTTGGCAGTTTTACCACCCCACCTCGCGCGTGTTCTGTCCTCTCAGGACGTCACGTTTGACGAGTCGGTTCCCTACTACCGTCTCTTCCCCTACCGCACTGCGTCCCTCCCCCCGCCGCCGCTCTTCCTCGCGCCAGGTCCCCCCCCGGTAGACCCCCTCCCCCCTCAGGGTCCTGCCCCCTCAGGTGTGTCCCAGGTAGACGCAGTCGAGCCTGTCGAGGTAGCTGTTGACTCTGGTGCTGCTAGGGGTGCTGAGCCTGCGCGTGCGGGGCCTGGGGGTGCTGAGCCTGCGGGTGCTGACTCTGGGGGCGCTGAGTCTGGGGGTGCTGAGTCTGGGGGTGCTGAGTCTGGGGGTGCTGAGCCTAAGGTTGCTGAGCCTGGGGGTGCTGAGCCTGGGGGTGTGGAGCCTGGGGGTGCTGAGCCTGCTCGTGTGGCGTCTGGAGGGACTGGGCCTGGAGGTCCTTCGGGTTCTTCGTCCTGGCGAGAGTTACTCTCTCCACAGGAGCTGCGCGAGTGGTTTGCTCGGTGTTGGAGCCGTACTGCTGGAGCTGGAGGTGCTGCTGGTGCTGGAGGTTCTACTGCTGCTGAGGGTGCTGGTGCCACGGGTCCCGGAGGTGCTCGTACTGGAGGTACTGGAGCTGCTGGGCCTGCGGGTACTCCTTGTGCTGGAGCTGCTGGAGGTGCTGGAGCTGGAGCTGGAGCTGCTGGGGGTGTTGGCGCTGGAGGTGCTGCTGGTGCTGGTGCTTCTGAGGGGGCGGGTGTTGGTGCTGCTGGAGCTGGTGCTGCTGGCGCGGCTGGAGCTGGGGGTGCTACTGGACCTGGTGCTGCTGTTGGGGGTGCTGGTGCTGGAGCTGCTGGCGCTGCTGGAGCTGGGGGTGCTACTGGAGCTGGTGCTGCCGTCAGGGGTGCTGGTGCTGTTCCTGCTGGTTCTGGGGGTGCTGCACGGCCGCGGCCTTACTTCGTTCCGCTCCTTGAGCAGGTTCTTGGTCTTCCGCCCTCTACTAGTCCTGCTCCTCTTTTAGAGTGTCCACCGCCTGTCCAGTCTGAGTCACAGTTACAGCCAGCCTCCCCACTGCCTGCTCCTTCTCCCTACACTGGTCCTACTGGAGGTCTTGCTGAGCGTCGTGAGCCTGCGTCTCGTCCTGCGTCGCCTGTCCGTGCTGCTCGCCCTAGTGGTCGTGGTTCGCGTCAGCGTCCTCCCCCTGTCCCCGGCACGCGCCGGATGTCTCTGCGTCCTTCCACTGCTCCGCTGCGTGCCCCTTTGCCTTCTCCTCCTGAGTCCTCTCTTCCTGCTCTTGCTGACCCAGAGTCGGACTCCCTTCGTGCTGCCAGTCCTACTGTTACGCGTCTCCTTGCTACTGTCGTCATTGACCCTTCCTTCGAGTCCACTGCTGCGTCTTCCTTAGTTGCTGAGCTTGTCGACTTTGCTGCTCGCTGTCGTCTAGACTACGCTGCTAGTCTTGTCGATGAGTCTGAGTCTGTCTGTCCTCCGTCCGTCGGGGGTGAGTGTGCCCTTGGCACGGACGTCCTTGAGGACAGGCAGGAGGAGTTCCAGTGCTTTGCTGCTGCTTCACCTCATCTCGTGTCCATGCTGCTGGCCCCCGAGGGAGACCTGGATGCACCAGACATCCCGACTCCGCGCTCTTACGCGGAGGCGATAGAGGGTCCCTACTCCTCTCAGTGGCAGGCAGCCATGGACGTAGAGATGGCTTCCTGGAAGTCCACAGGCACCTACGTCGACGAGGTTCCCCCACCTGGGGCGAACATCGTCAGTGGCATGTGGATTTTCAGGGTGAAGCGGCCCCCGGGTTCTCCGCCTGTCTTCAAGGCGCGTTACGTGGCTCGAGGCTTCAGTCAGCGGCATGGAGTTGACTACTTTCAGACCTTCTCTCCCACCCCGAAGATGTCCACTCTTCGGGTACTACTGCACATAGCCGCTCAGCGCGACTACGAGCTTCACTCTCTTGACTTCAGCACTGCTTTCCTACAGGGTAGCCTGCACGAGGAGATCTGGTTGCGCCGCCCACCTGGCTTCACTGGGTCTTTTCCTCCTGGCACCCAGTGGAGCCTCCGGCGGCCAGTCTACGTTCTCCGCCAGGCACCTCGTGAGTGGCACGACACACTGAGGACTACACTTGCGGCTCTTGGGTTTGCTCCTTCTACTGCCGACCCCTCGCTGTTTCTGAGCACCGACACCTCTTTGCCGCCGTTCTACATCCTCGTGTACGTCGACGACTTGGTCTTTGCCACAGCTGACACTGCTGGACTCGCCCACGCGAAGTCCGAGCTGCAGAAGAGACACACGTGCACAGACCTGGGTGAACTGCGCAGCTACCTTGGCTTGCAGATCACCCGGGACAGAGCACAGCGCACCATTACCCTGACTCAGTCACACATGGTGCAGCAGGTCCTTCAGCGCTTCGGCTTCACGTACTCCTCGCCACAGGCCACTCCTCTGTCTACTCGCCACTCGCTCTCAGCTCTGCCTTCGGATGAGTCCGTAGAGCCGAGTGGCCCGTACCCAGAGCTTGTTGGCTGCCTCATGTACCTGATGACCTGCACACGACCTGACCTTGCATACCCTCTTAGCATTCTGGCACGCTATGTTGCTCCTGGGAGACACCTCCCTGAGCACATGGCTGCAGCGAAGAGGGTGTTGCGCTACTTGTGCAGTACGTCGGGCATGGGGCTAGTGCTTGGAGGGCGGAGTCCAGTGGTCCTCACTGGTCACGCACACGCGTCTTGGGTTGACGACTTGGCTACGCAGCGGTCGTCACAGGGTTACACCTTCAGCCTTGGTTCCGGTTCTGTTTCGTGGCGGTCTACCCGCTCTTCTTCTGTTCTCAGCTCCAGCTGTGAGGCTGAGATCTACGCAGGGGCCATGGCTGCACAGGAGTTACGCTGGCTCACCTACCTGCTGACTGACCTCGGAGAGCCGCCTCGTTCTCCTCCAGTTCTGTACGTAGACAACAAGGCCATGCTGGCCTTGTGTCGTGAGCACAGACTGGAGCACAGAACGAAGCACATTGCTCTTCGCTACTTCCTTGCTCGTGAGCTGCAGCAGCGTGGTCAGCTGCGACTTGCTTACGTGGCCTCTCAGGCCAACACTGCTGATATCTTCACCAAGGCACTCGCGCCTTGTGATCATCAGCGCTTTTGTACTCTGTTAGGTCTTGTACCTACTTTGCCTCACTTGCTCACTTCTTGACCTTGCTTGTACTTTGACCTATATATACTTGCACTTGCATGTTTAACTTTATATATATATATATCTCTGCATGTGAACTGACCTTGTGGCCCTTGAACTTGTGCTCAGAATGTGTGGTGACGTTGTGATCCACCCTGAGCTTGCTGTGCTTTGCTTGACTGGTCTTGTGACCCCTTGTTCTCCCCCACTTTGCCTATGGGGGTGTGTCAAACTTATATGCTATAGTCTTTCTAGGCTGTAGTGGGGTAGACAGTATGGGGTACAGCTTTCTAGGGTTTCATATTTGTACCCAACTCATTTCCTAGTTCATCATTCATTCCTCATTTCTTCACACAATCATCCGGTCGCACATGTTGAGAAGCTTATGGCGGTTGCATAATATAACATTACAGATCATATGTATAGTATAACATCACTATTATGCGTACATTGTAACCCTAGTGGATTTAAATGATTTGATAAGTGTAACAAGGAGATTTCGAATTTGTCACAGCGCCTTCCATTACTATAACATTATCGTACAAGAATTTGTTCTTATATTGAGAATTGCATCAGGTAAGATTTCTTATCAGTGTCATACTCACTACGAGTATCGAAGCTGAGTGAATCGGGTATCCTAGTCCCGAGGGTGCGCTTAACGAAGGCCAATTTGTATTCCATTTCTACACCTTGATGCTTGCTGTAAGACCCTGGTTAAATAGGAGACTGTAGCTAGTACCGAGTCGGCCTCCAAGTGGGCCCCCGGATTAAGTTAACTGTTCGATTGTACGGACTTGAAGTTGCGAAACGCATGGTGTACCTTTTAGAGCATCACGGTTTCTCGAAGCGTTTACAGCGGGCCTGAGGGCGAGGTCTGATTCGCTCCCGCAGGATGGGGGCGTGGCCTGATTCGCTCCTGAACGATGGGAGGGGTCTCCTGGGGGTCACCACACGTGGGTGACATTGGGGTGACCACGCGAAGTGAAAACTGCAGGGGTCACCCGCGGCTTACCTAGACAAGGACCCCGGGGTATCCCACCAGGGGGTAAGCTGGGGGTAACCTGGGGGGAGCTTTTTGGGCCAAACTTTTTGGGATGGGAAATGAGGGACCTAGGTAGACACGAACCAATGAGCCCTCAGTATTCAGTCTAACTTTCGAATTAGTCTTAAGCTCCTGCGACAATGATAGAGGGTGTCGCCCGTCTTATTCCTTCCCGCGTTGAAAAGCTTGGAGAGGCAGGACACAGGACTGAGCCGAGGAGACTACCCTGATTACGCGGAGGCATCCATTGAAAGAGACTGCGAGACCATACATGCTTATAGAATAATCTCAAGGGTCCCACTCGGTAAAGCGTTTCGTTTTTGTACCGAGAATCTCAGACCTGAACTTTTTATTGCGTACCAAGCCTGACATTCCTTAGACCTGTTTTCTGTTCGATAAACTCTTAGCACAGAAGCACCAAGACACAAAAATTACAAATGCTCAACAAAACCAATAAGCATGATGTCAACAGAATCCTTAAATCGGAGAATACTCCAGAAGGGCGGCCTTTTACCAGGGCCTCAGCTGCTACACGCTTGAGTGCAGAGCACCCGAAGGTCATAATTTGCCATTGATGTGATATTTGGTACGGCAAGCATTGTCTGATTAGTACACACCAGCGCACCAGTGCCATTTTGATACGACCGGACCTGCACAAAGCGGAAAAACACCATTAGCGAAAATAATTCGGGGCACGCCAGTAAAATCAAAACACAAACTTGCAAGCAGTAAGAGGAATACAATGGGAGCAATGCGAGGCAAGGATAGAACTGGAAGCTGACCTGGCAAACAGGCCCTTGGCCCTGTGTGCCTGGGGCATTGGGGTCGCAGGTCCACCAGGGCGTGGGCACACACGACATGTAGCGACACCACGTGCAGTCTGATGCCACGTTGCCCTTGGTGAATAGCACCGCCATGCAGAGCGAGAAGCTGGTGGAGGGAGTGGGAAGGAGAGGCAGCAGCGAAAGAGGAAATGAGTGCTGAGTGCCACGTTGCCCTTGGTGAAGAGCACTGCCATGCGGAGTGAGAAGCTGGTTGGGGGAGTGGGAAGGAAAAGAAGAGCAGGGGAGCAGGAGGAGAAGCAGCTGGCATGGGAGGGTCAGCAGGCACGTTGCCCTTGGTGAATAGCACCGTCATGCAGAGCGAGAAGCTGGTTGGGGTTGGGAAGGAGAGGAGGCAGCAGACATGGGTGAGTCAGCAGCTGATGGGGGAGGGAGAGGGAGAGGAGGCAGCAGTGGGAAAGCGGAATGTGCCGTGCATCAAGAGCCATATTGCCCATGGTGGCGAGCACTACCCTGCTGCCTGTGCTGATGAGGGGTGAGAAGGAGAGGATGCAGCAAGAAGGGGGAATGAGTGCCAGAAGTCATGCTTCCCTTAAAGGCGACCTTCATGAGCACAGATAAGGGGGAATGAGTGCCAGAAGTCATGCTTCCCTTAAAGGCGACCTTGCCTACTGCTGCCCTTCTTCATGAGCACAGATAAGGGGGAATGAGTGCCAGAAGTCATGCTTCCCTTAAAGGCGACCTTCATGAGCACAGATAAGGGGGAATGAGTGCCAGAAGTCATGCTTCCCTTAAAGGCGACCTTCATGAGCACAGATAAGGGGGAATGAGTGCCAGAAGTCATGCTTCCCTTAAAGGCGACCTTCATGAGCACAGATAAGGGGGAATGAGTGCCAGAAGTCATGCTTCCCTTAAAGGCGACCTTCATGAGCACAGATAAGGGGGAATGAGTGCCAGAAGTCATGCTTCCCTTAGTGAAAAAGAACCGCCATGCAGGAAGGGCAGTGGTGCAGCGCAGTGCACTTACAGAGCCATGAAAGATTATCCCAGAGAGAACCCGCGTGTAGATCTGGCAGGTGGAGTGCCTCTTAGCCATGAAGATTATCCCCGAGAGACACCTTGATCGCTGTTGCCGTCGCCACGCCAGAGCTATCTCGGAGGTCAATGAAGCCCAGCTGTGGCTTGAGCAGCAGAGCAAACCCGAGTGTAAACCTGGCAGGTGGAGTGGTGAGCCTTGAAATGCACTACTTACAGAGCCATGAAGATTATCCCGGAGAGAATCCGCGTGTAGACCTGGCACGTAGAATGCTTCTTAGTCACGGGATCACCCCCCGACACAGCAATCGCCGTCGCTGTCGCCACGCCAGAGCTATCTCGGAGGTCAATGAAGCCGTGTTGGGGTTTGAGCAGCAGAGCAAAGCCGAGGAAGAAGCCGGCGATGCAGCCGCCTATGTGGGCGAAGTTGTCAATGTAAGGCATGAGGCCGATGGCGAGATTGATGGCTATGAGGATGATTAGCGTCATCAGGGCTGAGAACTGCATGGGAGGGTATGGGGACAGAGGGAGGGGAGAAGGGGGGCAGAGGGAGGAGAGAAGGGGGGCAGAGGGAGGAGAGAAGGGGGGCAGAGGGAGGAGAGAAGGGGGGCAGAGGGAGGAGAGAAGGGGGGCAGAGGGAGGAGAGAAGGGGGGCAGAGGGAGGAGAGAAGGGGGGCAGAGGGAGGAGAGAAGGGGGGCAGAGGGAGGAGAGAAGGGGGGCAGAGGGAGGAGAGAAGGGGGGCAGAGGGAGGAGAGAAGGGGGGCAGAGGGAGGAGAGAAGGGGGGCAGAGGGAGGAGAGAAGGGGGGCAGAGGGAGAACCAGGAGTTATCGATGTAAGGCATGACGTAGATGGCAAGGTTGATTGCTATGAGGAGGATGATGAGCGTCATCAGGGCTGAGAACTGGTAGGGAGCCCAAGTGGGGAGGGAGGGCCGGGGGGGGGCGGGGGAAAGTGGGGAGGGAGGAGAAGCAGGAGTTGTCAATGTAGGGCATGAGGCAGATGGTGAGATTGATGGCTATGAGGATCAGAAGAGTCATCAGGGCTGAAAACTGCACGGGAGGCCAAGGGGGAGGGACCCTGGGGGGGAGGAGAGGGTTGGATTGTGCAGAGACACAAGGGTTGAAACGAGGGGTGGAAATGAGGTGGAAAGGGGTTTGGGAAAGAGGGACTGAGAAAAGGAGCTGGAAAGAGAATGAAAAGACACACTTATCAACTCAAGCAAGCACCCACGTACCCTGTTGTCGTAGAGCTTCCAGTTGATCAGCAGTTCTGACAGGCACGCACCCACCAGCCCAAACAACGCTCCAGATGCACCCACGCTGATCTGACGGCGGGGAATGAATGGCAATTCCAGGTAAATTCGGGGGGGGGGGGGGTTGAGAAGGGGATGAGGTTGGGTGGTTGGGAAGCAGTAGGGAGAGGAGTAGGAGATGGGGAGAGGGAGGGGAGGAGGGAAGGGCGAGGAAAACGCTGCAAGGGTGAACAATCCACAAGCACATTCGCTGAATGAAACATGGAACATTCTTGGAAGCGTCACTCGCAGTAGCCAAATGAATAGTGACGCAGGGAAGAGAGGGGCATATAGCACTGCAGACTTTTGGTGAATCTTTCATGCTGCAAAATCTTTTTTGCACTGGCTGGGCGTGGGCGTACCTGTGTGTTGAGGAAGAGGCAGGAGAAAACGGCAGCAAAGACGCCACTGAGAAGGTAGATGGCCGTGGGACGCCCTGCCAGGGGAAAGCACAGGAGAGAGCACAGAGCGGACAGCAGAGAGATAACGGCGCACATGCAAAGGGGCAGAGAGGGGGCAGCATGGTGAAATAACAAATCACATGTGGTGCTGGTGGTGGTGGTTGTGGCCTTTGTCTATCCATCCTCTCGACCCTGCCTACGTGCACACCAAATCCTCCCCCAAAACTATTTCCCTTCAATTCCCTCCTCACCCGTTAACCTCACCTCTCCATCCTCCTTCCCCCACATTCCCTCGGCCCCCACCCATCCCGCCTAACGCCACACCACGCCACACCACACCACACCACACCACACCACACCACACCACACCACACCACACCAATGCACACCACACCACACCACACCACACCACACCACACCACACCACACCACACCACACCACACCACACCACACCACACCACACCACACCACACCACACTGCACCACGCACGTACACAGCCCGGACTCCTTCTCGAGGCGGTTGAGTAGGAAGGCGATGCCGAGGAGGTTACATACGAGATGAGAGACGCACCATGCCGCACACAGCTTCATCCCATGCCCTTTCTCGCATCCCCTCTCCCCCCATCCTTCCCGTCTCACGCTACAGCATTAACCACACCACACCACACTACAGCATAGCACACCACACCGCACCACACACGTACACAGGCCGAACTCCTTCTCGAGGCGGTTGAGAAGGAAGGCGATGCCGAGGAGGTTACACACGAGATGCACCACGCCGCCGTGTAACCACATCGCCGTTACCAGCCGCCAGCCCTGGTGGTAGTTGGTAACCAGGTTACTGTTCAGCGCGCCCATCTCCTGAAGCCTGGAAGGTTGCGAAGAATGGGGGGGTTCGTACATACGCACGAATATGGATGATAGAACGAGAAGTTTTAGGCGAAATTATTCTCGAGGCGGCTCAAAAGTAGTTGGTAACCAGGCTACTGTTGATTGCGCCCATGTTGTGAAGCTTGGAGGCGTGAGACGACGGCGGGTTATACTTCCAGACGGATACGCGACAGACGCGCAATTGTCAGCTACGAAACACCGAATAGACGTTGAGTGAAATACTTGGCGGGGGAGGGGGAGGGGGTAGGGTGGGAGGAGGAAGGGGGGGGGGGGGGGGGGGGTGGGTTGATGGAGAGAGGGGAAGGGAGGGAGGAGGAAGGGTAGGGTGGTAAGTCACAGGTCGCTTACGTTAAGGCGGTTGGACCGAAGAGAGGGTTGATATTCAGCGGCTCGAAAGAGAAGCGACCCAACCAAGGCAGCACGCAGCTCTGGCCTTGCGGGTGCGGCTTCGACGGGCAATTATTCACCGCCATGGTCACAATAAAGACTACTATGCAGGCGATTAACACGGTCAGCGCCAGCCATGGCACCTTCCTGTACCACCGCGGTTTCCGCGAAGGATCCCGCGTGTTTGGAGGTGGAACAACAGGGGGGTAGGCTGCTGGGTTGATTCCGGAGGGGTATTCAGGCGGAGGAGGAGGCGGGTAAGCGTACGGTACGATTGTACTGCCAGAAGCGTACGAGTGGAACTGACCCCCTTGATGATACGCGGAGTGGCTGTCGTCAGCGTACTCGTTATGAGATGACACGATGGCTGGATGGGAAGGAGCGTAGGGGTATTCGCCGGAGCGCGAGTGAGCGAGCGGAGCGGAGGGAGTGGAGGAGAGAGAGGAGGAGGAGCGGAGGCTAGTAGACGACGGCATCTCGACGTCGCTCGAATAAGGATCTGAGCCTCCGCGACCTACTATGCGACTCATTGCGAAATAGTCCAGACAATAGGTTCTAAGAGAATGAAGCGGACAGTACGCGGTAATCGAAGTAGGAGCGGCGCGTTTAGCAAGTGATTCCGCCAACAATCGGTCAAGAGAGACGAAAGGAACTGAAGTTAGGGACAGAACCAATCGCCGTTAGACCAAAAGCTCAACCTACCCAATAGCTCACGTCACCTCCTACAGCTGTTACAGGGTGTCATCTCCCTGCCAGAAGGACCGACAAATGGGAATGGGTGCAGTTGCTTGTCATAGAGAATGCCGAGAAGATTCACCTCCACTGTACACAGGATGCCCGCTAGATACCCACAACTTTTCTCGTCATTTGGGTGAATAATGAGCAACCGGTTCGCCTAACTCGCAAACAATCGCTACGGGCAAAATCGGGACAGTAGTGGGCAGGTATAACAAAAGTCTCAAAATATCTCACGAACTGACGGATGCCAGCGTGATAAGGTGGATGTTCAACGGCTACGATCAAAATAGGGGCTTGTAACGTGCGTGCAGCTGGCTGATACCAACTGCAATTGGGCAGGCTGTCGGAAATTGAAGGACCGAATTTGCGTGCAACAGCTGAGCATCCTGTGTATTTGTGTACAAGTTTCCGCCACTCTCCCGCAAATCCATACTATCCGCTCATTTCACAAAGTGCGGGTAGCTGAACGACGGCGGAAAAGGAGCCGATTCTGCAGATGTTTCCGCGCGGGCTGGGCCTGAAATGTTTTTGGCTGTAATCCTCCGCCAAGCTTCACCCATGTCGGCTGCGACTTCTTGAGATTCCGCGCAGCATCGCCGCGCCAAAGCTGTCCATTCTTCCGCCAAGGGCTGGTAATTTGTTCCCCTTGGTGGAAAAAGGGAGGCGCAGGGCTGTGCCGTGCGTAGTCACGGCAATCCCCGCTTCCGCAACCGAGCTGGCCCTGCCCCCCCTCGGCCTTGCGAACGCTTTCTGTGACACCTTGTGCGCATCGCTTCGACCAGTCACTGAATTCCGACACATGTGTGTTCCACACCGACCGACCATCAGCGAGGTGACATAAATGAACGTGACAGCCGCGATAATGTACACGTAGCTGGTATCATATAAGGGTACATTTTAGGAGGAATGGTTGTACAATAGGTAGTGAGTGAGACCCTGCACATCCTAATATAGAAGATCGACATAGATGCAACGACACCTTCGATGTGTCTAAAACACGAAGAACTTCATTCCGAGTACATGAAGATAAATATTTGAGATGCCCAACTGCGCCCCGCTGTTTGCTACGGGACGCGAAAAATGGCCGACAGGTGACGTGGCACACGTCGGAAATATCTGATGGTTGGGACCACACAGATGCGCTTTTCATTGCACTTTTCACAAAAGCCGGCGTGGATCTCTCGTCCGATACTTTCACGTGACCTGGATTACCTTTTTCTATCCGCCCGCACTGTCCGCGATTGGTGCACAGCTGTTGAGATTCCTTTATGAACCATAACCACCAATCCGGACATCCAGCTTCGTTACCTTCCTTCCCTCATCAACTGGTTTCCCCTCCTCCTCTCTCCTGGCTCAGGGATCTCTCGTTTGTTTCTGATCTTCAGGACACTATCCCATCCCAATCCAAGAAGAGCCCACATCAAACGGTCTGCTCCCAAGAGCAAGTTGCACGTCGGCGTTTCCGAGGTTCGAATGAGGGTTTTCTGTGTGGTCTGTGTAAAGTAAACAAGCCCAGATGCAGGCGTCTTCTCTTGACTCACATTAGCTTGGCTCTCTTGTTAGCAGTCTTTGCTAGTAGGCTTGCTGTCGATTGACCGATGCAAAAGGCGTCAAAGTGTGAATTGCCTGACTTGACGAATACTCTTCTTGATTTGGGTTGGTTTTAGTGTAGTTAACAATCTCTGCACATCGTCTTTCTTCCGACACTGATCGCTCTCCAGTTTATCAAGGACGTTCCAAATCGAAGCCTTCGCTGGGTTACATAAATTTCAGCTCCCTCATCGCAACCCATAATCTGTCTTCCCGTTGTAGCCTCCATTGGTTTCTCGATGAAGCTCGTCATAGCCAGCTTTTCGAATCTGCCCAGTATAAAGCCTTCCCTTCAATAACTCCTCATTCCGCAATGTTTCCCGAAAAGAGAGACCTCTCGTATTTCCTCCCATTCGGCCCCGCGCCGAGCCTGAGCACGCTACCGTCCGACGCGGGATTCGGCGGAAGCCGGGAAGCCGGCGTTACAACCGGCGTTGCCGCCGGTGGTGTTGCCGGCGCTGGCACGAGCTACGGCTTCAGCGGTGCCGGCCCGGCGGGGTTTAACACCGATGCAGCGAACACAGCAGCGTCGCGGCTGTACGCAACGGGAGTGATTGACAGTAGTAACCAGCCGGCGAAAGATAACAACAACCAGACGAACAACAATAACAACAACAGCGCGAGCGTGAGCAGCACGCGGAGAGAGTACGCGTGGCCCGGGACCGTGGCTCACGCGTTCGCCGCCATTGCGCGTGGTCCCGCCGCTAGTCAGGTGCGCTTGTTGGGATCAGCATCAGCTTCACTTTTGTTTCAACGTCTTCAGAATACTGTATTCAGAGTTCAGTTTCCTGCGGTATTTCACGCGTGCTCTCACGCGCGTGTTCCACATCTGCGGTGTTTTCCTGTCCACGTGGCAGGTGGCGAGTGGCGAGACGTTAGCGGACGCGATAATTGACATTCGCAGGGAGCTAAGTCTCAGCGATGGTAACCCTCGGCTCGCGAAAGGTCTCGCTGAATTCTTCGACGAGGTGAGTTCGCCAACCTTATCTGATACGCGGGTAATCTTTTAGAAATTCAGGTGTAATGGAAATGCGGATTTGCTAGCTTCCAGTGAAGCATGAAACCGTCAGCCCTGCGCTGCCCGAACGCTCTTCTCATCGCCCTCCTCCCTGTCCCTTTTCCCGTGTTCGCCCCAATTGTACCTGCAGATTCTTTCCGAGGAAGAATCTCAGGAGTTTTTCTTCTTCACGCTGCCCGGAATGGCCTCGCTCGCACTGCGTCTCCCGAGCCTCGTCTCCCAGCAGGCTCGGAGCGTGGCTCGGGCAGCCCAAGCCGCAGCGCAGTCCGGCAGCAGCGGGGGGAGCGGAAGCGGGGGTAGCGGGAGCGGAAGCGGGAGCGGGGGAAGCGAGAAATGGCGGAGGGGAACGCAGATGACGCTGCAGCTGTTGAGGCCGCAGCAGCCGGGGCTTGTGCTTATAACGCAGGAGCTTGCAGCGGCGCTATTGGTGGGCGCGTTCTTCTGCGTGTATCCCACGGCTGGGCGCGCACAGGAGAGATTGCCAGAGATCAACTTCGACCGCCTCTATGGGTGAGTCCTGAGCCTCTCACCCCTCTTTCTTTCCACTCTCCCCGTGCGCAACCCCGCCCCTCCCCGTGTATCCCACGGCTGGGCGCGCGCAGGAGAGACTGCCAGAGATCAACTTCGACCGCCTCTATGGGTGAGTCTCCACCCTCTCACCCCTCTTTCTATCCACTGTCTCCGTTTGCCCAACCCCTCATCTGTTGCGCTCAGCCAGGGGAATATATGAGGGGTCGCCGGAGCAGAGGGGAAGCTGCGCTGCCTGCTGCACCAATCCTGCCGCGTCCTCTCTCCGTGCCTCAGAGCATTGATTGCCTCAGACCCCCATCGCTCCCCTCCCCATTCCCGTCCTTTCCCAACCTCTCAGCGGCATATACGAGGGCTCGCCGCAACAACAAGAGAAGCTGCGCTGCCTACTGCACTACTTCCGCCGAGTCGTCTCCTCCATGCCTCAGGGCGCCGTCTCGTACGAGCGCAAGGTGCTGCCCCTCACTGCTGTCACACCCGCCACTGTCACACCCACTGCTGCCGCCCCGCCAGCCCTGCACCCATTCAACGCCCCTGGTACTGACACACCAGGCCACCTAAAGCAACAGCAGCAGCAGCAGGATGTATTTGGTTGGGGTGGGGAGGCAGGGGAGGGTGGAGGGCGGGGAAGTGGGAACATGAGACAAGGCGGTGGTAGTTCGCCACCTGGAAGCGGTGGGAGTGGTGGGCAGGGTGGGCGGCGCGGTAATGGTAGTGGCGGCAGTAAGGGCAGTGGTAACGGCGGTGGTAACGGTAACGGGAACGGTTACGGCAGTGGTTACCACAGCGGTTCCCGAAGCTCGCCCATGCAGAAAAGCAGATCCAACCGAAGCTCAGGTCCGACAACAGGCTCGGATCCGAGCCTAGCAGGCTCGTGGGGGAAGGAAGGGGAGGGAGGAGAGGGGCAGTTGCGGAGTGGGGGGTGCTTTGGGGGGAGCTGGGGGACGCTTCCCCCTCCCCCTGGCGCGGACTTCTGGGGGACAAGGCGGATTCCGCTCTGCGCCCTGGTGGTGAGTGCGACGGGCGTTTTGGGGAGGGAGAGGCATGTTGGGGGGAGAGGGGTGTTGGGGGAGGAGGAGGATGTTGGAGGGAAGAGTGGTGTTGGGAAGGGGGAGATGGGTGGAGAGAGGTTTGGGTGCACCAGGACGCATGGCTGGGAGGGCAGACAGGGGGCAGCTGCGCAGTGCTTCCAATCATATCACACCTGCCGCTTCATGCACCACTCTTCCCCTCCAACCCTTCTTCACCATTTCCTCTCTCCCATTCCTTTCCTGGTGCATGAGCGAGGTACAATAGAGGACGATGGCACGGGCTGTCTGCAAGTGGACTTGCCAATGCCTTTCAAGCCATGCTCTCACTTCACACCCTCACAAGGCCCCACCTCTCCTTCCTCCGCCCCCACCCCCACCACCACCAGGTGCATGAGCGCGGCACAATAGAGGACGATGGCTCGGGCTGTCTGCAAGTGGACTTCGCGAATTCCTTTCTGGGTGGCGGCACGCTCGGCTCGGGGTGCGTGCAGGAGGAGATTCGTTTCGTCATCTGCCCGGAGCTCATCGTGGGAATGTTTTTTCTGCCCGCCATGGAGAACAACGAGACGATTGAGATCGTGGGGCCCGAGCGATTCAGCAAATACACTGGGTGAGTCACCGGTTTGACGGGTCGAGTCAGCAAATTCAATTGATGAGTCAGCAGATACAGTGGGTTGAGGTACCTTATCCTGCTTACCGAATCTCACACATCCTTATTTGAATCTTCCATCTCCCTTCCCAACCCCTCCTCCCCCTATTCTTCCCCCATCACTCCTCTTCGCACTCTCCTTCCCTCAGCTACGCAGCAACCTTCAAGTTCGCCGGGGATTTCATTGACACAGCCCCTCGGGATTCCCTAGGCCGCCGCCAGACGCGGATAGTGGCCATGGATGCCCTCTCCCACGCAGCAGATCGCCAATTCCGCAGCTCCTATCTCCTCAGGGAAACCAACAAGGCCTTCTGCGGCTTCCTAGACCATGCCTCTGCAAGGGGTTTCGCCGGCGGGTCGATTCTCGCGAGTAATGACAGTAATAGCCCGGTGTTTTTGGAGGGTACTGCGCAAATGTCCCTGTCGAGGGATTTTTTGAGTGGGGAGGGGGGGGCGGCGGGGGCTATGTCGGGGTTTAGGAGAGGGGAGAGAGGGGGGAGTGGGAGTGAAGGGGAGGGGAGGGGGAGCGGTGGGGAGGAGGGGGGAAGGAGTTTGGGGGAGGGGCGTGCGGGAGAGGAGAGGAGAGGAGAGGGGAACGAGGGGATGATTGTTGATGGGGGAGGGGTGGTGCCGAGGGGGAGTGGAGGAGGGAGGGGAGGGGCGGGAGGGAGGGGAGGAATAAGAAGGTACTTTGAGAGGAAAGGGAGTGGGGGTGCGAAGAGAGGGCAGGGGGAGGGTGCATCTGGGGGGGTAATGGGGAATTTGGGTACAGGGCGAGGGGAAGGGAGGCAGGGGAGTGGGGAGGGCAGTAAGGAGGGCAGTGGAGAAGGGGAGAACAGGAGTGGTGAGGGGAGTGGAACCGAGAAGCGAAACGGGGGAATGCAGGCAGGAGGTGATGAGAGAGGAAAGGGCAGCGGAAGTGACAATAGCGAAGGGAACCCTGCAGATGCAGCCGAAGCTCGCCGTCCGAGTGTGACGGCGCCTCGGCCTAACAGCAGCAGTGACAATAACGAGGGGAGGAACAGCGAGCACAGCAACAACAGTGGAAACACAAACAACAGCAGCGGAAACAACAGCAGTGGGAACAACAGCAGCGGGAATAACAGCACTCAGATGCAGGGCAGTAGCCGGGCCACTGCTGGCACTAGCTCAGGTTCTGACTCACGGCTTGGGCGCGAAAGGGGCGTGGGAGGGCGAGACTCCAGTGAGAGTGAGAGAGTGGAGGAGGAGGAAGAGGAGGAGGAAGAGGAGGAGGTGGAGGATGAGGGGGAGGAGGATGGGTTTGTCATGGTGGAGAGGGGTGCAGGGAGGTTGGAGGGAGTGCGGGAGGAGTGGGGGGAAGAGAGAGAGGCGGGGCAAACAGGGGGGGGTGAAGGGGGCGCTGCAGGGGCAGGTGAGCGTGTGGTGGGGGGGCATGGGGAGGGGAGGGAGATGGAGGTAGAGGGTGAGGCAACCCCAATGGAGGAGGACTATAACGAGGACAAGCCAGCAGAGGTGCAGAAGGCTAATGAGGACACAGAGATGAAGGAGAAGGAAGTGAGGGAAGAGGGGGAAGAGAGGGGGGAGGCACATGAGAAGCATGCCCAATCTGCGAGCCAGGCGACTGGAGAGTCACCACAGCTGGGAATGGGCAGCGCTAATAGGGTGTCTGAGCAGACTCCCTCCCCCTCCCTGCCCTTTGTGCGCACTGATGTTCTGCTGACATCAGCAGGAGGGTTGATGACATCAGCAGGCGTTGCTGTGCCTGCGGGGGCGGTTTGTTTTCCCTCCATCTCCCCCCAGGGCACCGGCACTGGGACAGGGGGTACTGGCGCGGGGACTGGGGGAACTGGCGCGGGGACAGGGGGGAGGACGTGGGGTTCAGGGGGAGCTACTGGTGGGGGAAGCGGTGGCGCCACAGGGGGAGGGACGGGGGGAACGGGGGGAACTGGGGGAACGGGGGGAATAGGGGGAAGGGGAGGTGCAGCAGGAAAGGGTGGTGGTGCGGAAGGGGGTAGAGGGAGAGCGGAAGGCAGTGGAAGTGATACCCAAAGCCGGGCGGCAACTGATTCGAGTGGGCGGCATTTGTCTCTTTCTGGGCTGAGGCGGGCGGTGGAGGAGGAGGTGGTTGGGGCGGGCGGCGGGGGAGGGCTTGGGGAGCATGGTGGGCAGGAGGAGACGGGGAGTGGGGGAGGGAGCAGGGGGAGGAGTAGGGATGAGAATGGGAGTGATAGTGGGGGGAGTGATGACCTGGGGAGTGGGGATCACAGAAGGAGGGTCCACGCTTTTCATACTGCTGCCACCGCTGCTACCGCTGCCACTACTGCTGTCGTTGCTACTGCTGCCACTGCCATTGCTGCTGCCACTGCTGTAACTGCTGCTGTATATACACCAGCAGCTGTAGCAGGTCAAAGAACGAGTCCTGGGCATTCAGCAGCAGCTAACGCTGAGGCTGCTGCAGCAGGGGGAGCAGATGCAAGGGCAGGACAGGAGGCTGTGGCAGGGGTGGGAGGGGTTGCAAGGGGGACGGGTGCAGAGGACGCAGGTGACGCAGCGGGAGCAGCAGCACTAACCACCGCACTACCGGTATCGGATGCAGCACCAGCAGCGGCGGCGGCGGCAGCGGGGGAAGCTGCAGCAGCAGCAGCAGCAGCAGCAGGGGGCATGAGGCCGGGTCGACTGAGCCTGACGTCCCAGCACAATCGCATGGGCATAGCGACGGGCAACTGGGGGTGTGGCGTGTTTGGGGGCGACCTGGAGGTGAAGAGCATGCTGCAGTGGATGGCTGCCTCTGAGGCCGGCCGCCCCTACGTGCTCTACTTCACCTAAGCCGACCACCGCGCCGCCCGGCTCAAGGAGGTGAGGATCCCACCACCACCACCACCACCATCATCACCAACTGATGGTGTCTGAATAGAGTTGAGGGAGGGGCGGAGAGTGGCCGAGTTGTGGGGCGGGTCTCAAAGAAGACACATATTTTCTTAGTCTCAAGCCATTTCTTTGCCATATTCCCACATCCCGTGCAGGTGTGTGAGTGGCTGCTGAGGGAGGGGTGGAGTGTGGGTGAGCTGTGGACCATGGCTGAGTACAGCCGGCAGCGACGCGATGTGCATGATGTGACGCGAACACAAATCTAATTGCGCGTCCCACGAACTCACTTATCCCGTGCAGGTGTGTGAGTGGCTGCTGAGGGAGGGGTGGAGCGTGGGCGAGCTGTGGACGACTGTCGCAGAGTACAGCCGGCAGCGACGCGACCACCAGCTGCACCTGCAGGTGCCGCAGCAGCACTCGGACCACCACCACTCGCAGCAGCAGCAACATTACCAGCAGCAAGATATGGATTACCAGTACCAGCACCAGCAGCAGCAGCAGCAGCAGCAGCATTACCATGATCAGCAGCAGGGGCAGGGGCAGCATGGGCAGGGGCATGGGGAGAGGCGGCGGCAGCGGTACGGCACGCCGGTTTCCTTCTTTGATTGGCTCATCCCCGTGCAACAACGTTCCGGTAGGTAGGTGGGCGGGTGGGCGGCGGGCGGGCACACAGATGCATGCCCCTCCTTCCCATTCATTCACTTTGGAGCTTGACAATTGCTCAGAAGCGAGGGAAACAAAGTGGCTCTGAGAGGGCTGTCATGGACAGAAAGCCGGGATGCATGTCCTTTGGATTCAGGTTCTAAAGCAAGCTGGACTAACCTCAGTGCTTCAGTTACTTCCCCCCACCCCCGCCCATCCAAACCTGTCAGCAGGTTCTCCCGAGCCTGACGCCAAGCGTGCCCGCCTGTCCACCTCCGGAGGTTCGTCCCGAGCCGTGTCATCCCCTCCCCGCACCTCCCGTTCCCTGCATACCGAACTGCAGTACGCGTTTGAAGACCCGTGTCTCGTGCCTGAAGTGGGCGGGGGAACGAATGGGCCCAGAATCAACCAGCAGAGTGGTCATGCGGAGGGTGGTGAGGGTATGCGGTGTGGTGGTGTGGCGGATGGCAGGGAGGGAGGGAGAGGAGGGGGAGGAGCGGGTGGAGGGGGAGGAGGAGGAGGGGGAGGAGGTAGAGGGGGAGGGGTGCATGGGGAAGTGCCAGGTGGGTTTGATGCTTGTGTGCGGGACGAGGCACAGGGAGCAGGGTGCAGGGAGGAGGGAGAAGAAGCAGGGCAGCGAGACGAGCAGGCACAGGAAGCAGGGCGCAGAGAGCAGCAGGGACACGAAGGCGGGCACAGGGACGCGGTGCAAAGGTGGGAGGAGAGGCGCGACAGGGGAGGGCAGGTAGGGAAGCAGGAGGCAGGGCAGGGTGTGCAGCAGGAGGCAGGGTGGGGTGCCCACGTTCAGGCATGCCAGGAAGAGGGAGAGGGTGGGGCAGTGGAGGAAGGAGTGGGAGGGCTTGGCGAAGGCGAGAGGGAGGAGAGGCAAGGGGAAGGGCAAGGGAGAGAAGATGGGCGATGGGAGTTGATGGCGCAACAGGGAGAGGTTCCGGTGCTGAATGGGGAAGCAAGGTGGCACGGGGATGGGGATGGTAGGGGCACTGGGGATGCCAATAATGGGGAAGGGGAAAGAATGCAGGACGAGGAGAATGAGGAGCAGGAGCAGGAGCGAGAAGAGGAGGAGGAGGAGGAAGAGGAGGTGGAAAGAGGAGCGGCCAGGCACGGGCAGTCGATGCCTCGTTGGGGAGAGTCCAGCGCTCAGAGCAGCAGACAGCACAGACTGCAGCCACCGCCGCAGCAGCAGCAGCAACATCAGGCACAGCAGAACCTGCAGCAGCCGCAGCAGCAGAGGGAGTCAGGCAGTGGAGAGGGAGTGGTGCCTGGAAGCTGTGGGGGGGCATCCCAGCAGCAGTCAAACCAGCAGCAATCAGTCCAGGAGCAGCCTCGAGAAGGAGATGAGTCAGCAGCTGCTGCACACGAAAGAGATGAGGCTCGGGCCGAAGCACGGGGTCAGGTACGGGGATTGACTGGGGAAGCTGGTGAATTGGAAGAAAGGGATGGGAGGGAGGAGAGCGAGGAGAGGGTGGGGGCTGATGAAATTGAGGGGGGTTCTTCTGATCAGCGTTACCTGAGGGAGGTGCCTTCTGGGAGCGGTTGGCAGAACGTCTCGTTTGGAGATGGACGGTCAAGATCGGACGATATGAGTGATAGTACCAATAGGGAAGCGGCTAGTAGCGAAGACATGAGCAGGTCGCAAGGGAGTGGGAGAGACGGTGGAAGGGCGGGGCGCGGGTTGAGAGGCGGGAATAGAAGCTGGGGTGGAAGAAGTAGAGGCTCTAGTGATGGGCAAAGGGTAATGGGAGAGCAAATTGACTCTGATACACCGTCACTTGACAGTTTGGACGAGGTGTTTCGGGAACGGATGGGATGAAGCAATGGCAAATTCTGAAAATGTGTACATGTATTAACTCAAGAAGCTAATTCCTTCCCATCCCATGTACCTTTGGAAACTTGAAACATTGTACGGTATGCTTTTGAGCCAGTTTCTCCCTTGAGTTGTCAAGCGTGTGGCTTCATATGAACAGATGTATGTCAAATGTGATCTCATTGATCTATGACCTACATGCTACAGCTTATGATACGTGGCACAGACAGACTTTGAGGTCCTGTCTCTCAGTTCAGTATTGAGTACATTTCAGTACCGAATAATTTTCTATGCACCCACCGCCATGCGCCAGTCAACCGTCAGTCGTCAACTCAACCATCGTACGGCCGTCATAGAAAGGGCGGATTCACTTCTTCATTCGTGGCGAGCCAACCAAGCATCATCAGCATCATCAACGTCAATTCCATGACAACCTAACCACACCCAACCACTTTCAGATGTACACCATCTCTTTGTCACGCTGCAAAATGGGCCCCGTGCCAACACGCAGTCAAGGCGAACATGCTCCCACCAACTAACCCGCCATCACTGGTCAAGTTTTACCAGCAAGGCAATCTCAAAGAACGAACCTGGAGTCTTCTTGAGGTCCTGCTTCGCTTTTTGCAGACTCGACAAAAAGGTCCCAACCAACCAACCACCATCACCCACCACACCACCATCAGCAGCACCACCACTGCTAGATAGACCATCGCATCATCTTCATTCATCATCTCATCACCACCACCACCATCCACCACCTTCATGTTGTCGCCATTTTCTCATCTTCGAGTATAGCGGTTCGTCTGCTGGTATCATTCACTTCTCCGTTGTGAAACACCAGACGACGTCAATTCAAGGCGAGGAACCTTGGAGCCATTTCAGGCAAATTACTTACCAATGCTCGTCGTTTATCTCCGCTGATCCAATCATGGAGTCCCGCAGTGCCGATCGCACTAGTCCGCCACTACCACCGAAGCCAGAATCTTCTACCTCCGCGACCGCATTCGTCGCGTCAAGTAGCGGTTTATTGGCGGAGCCGCGTCAAGGTCAAACTTTTGAGGCGCCTAAAGACGTGTTCAGTAGGAGTTTATCGGCAGAATTTCGCCGGGAAGATAATGCGTCGGACTTTTCAGAAGAGGTCTCCGTGTTAACCGCACCAGCGGGAGCATCCGCTTCCGGATTGGCCAGGCGAGGCTCGTCCGCGAAGAATCTTCGCGAATCTGTTCTTAGCGAGCCTGTCGTTTCCGGAGTTCCGTGCGCGACCCTCGCTGGAAATTCTTATGGTGTTACTATAAGGAGGGAAAGATTCAGTGAACGAACAGATGGCGCGATCGACCGATGGGAGGGGGAGCGGCAACGAACAGATGGCGCGATCGGCCGCGGCGACAGTTCCGTCCTCGCTCATTCGCCTAAAGGAGCAGCCAATATCGATGTTCAGCGTTTGGAAGCCCGCCGTCACGATGCGGAAGCAAGCGGCTTTATCTTTAACGAGGATGATTATAGCGGAGCAATGTCTTCCGCACGGGACAGTCTTCGGGATGCCATCGAGCTCATCGCGACAGGAGTTGAGGCGAGCTCCAGCGAAGGGGTGACAAAATCAAATCCTCTTTACAGCAGCTACAGTGAAATCGGAAGTGCGCGTGACGATAACGATATTCTGATCCACGGTGGACGGCCCTCCGCTATAGCGGAGGAGCGGGGGAGAGCGTACCACGGGAGAGATCTTCACGAATCCTCCATGGTCGATCAAAGTGCTTATATTGAAGCAGGGCCCGAGGTTGGCGAAAGCAGGAAGTTGAAACAAGGCGATGGGATCGAGGAGCAATGGCCGACAGGGCCTATGGAATCTTGGGACCCTAAGAAAGTCCAACACCTCATCGCCCGCTCGCCTCCCCACCGACCCTCCCCCTTCCCCTCCTACCTCTCCTCCTCCTTCCCCTCCTCCCTCTCCTCCTCGCTCTCCTCCCACCTCGCCCTCCTCCTCTCCTCGCTCTCCCGCTACGCGCATGCGCTGGACGCGTGGTGGGGAACGGTAGCCGAGGAGACGTTTAATCTCTCTGAGGAGTTTAAGTACGTCGGCTGGCCGGGCAACTATGGCAAGGCGGCGGGAGGGGTTGCGGGGGGAAGCCCAGTGGGCGCAACGGGGGCGTCTGCGGGGGATGGGGGAGCGGGCGGAGGCGCAGGGATGGGGGTGGGACGGGGAGTGGAGGGGGGGGTAGCGGGGGTGAATGTGTGGCGGCGGGTGAAGAAGTATCGACACTTCGTGGCTTTCATGGCTGGTGCGTCTGTGCATGGATGCATGAATTCAGCATTCAGATTGAGTGGTGCTGGTTGCTGGTGCGTCTGTGCATGGATGCAGCACTGGTCAATGCAGCACTGGTCAATGCAGCATTGGTCAATGCAGCATTCATGAGTGCATGCAGTGGCTTTAACCATCTCTTCAGCCTTCCCTCCCGCTACATGCACACACAAACCAGAAACCGAGACAAGCAATCCAATTCTCCGCTCGCCTCATCCGTCCCTTTCCTCAAGTCCCACCTCTCGTTTCCCCTTCCATCCCGCCCTGCGTGCAGTGGTGGCAGCAGTCAACGGCCTCTTCTCTCTGCTCCTAATTGACTCGCTCCTCTCTGGTGCCTGCATCCCCCTCTTCCACGACTGCCATACCCGCTCTCACATCCGTTCCCTCTCATATCCCCCTTCCCGTCCCACCCCTGTGTGGTGCAGTGGTGGCAGCAGTCAACGGCCTCTTCTCTCTGCTCCTAATTGACTCGCTCCTCTCTGGTGCCTGCATCCCCCTCTTCCACGACTGCCATACACGCTCTCACATCCGTTCCCTCTCATATCCCCCTTCCCGTCCCACCCCTGTGTGGTGCAGTGGTGGCAGCAGTCAACGGCCTCTTCTCTCTGCTCCTCATCGACTCGCTCCTCTCGGGTGCCTGCATCCCCCTCTTCCACGACTGCCATACACGCTCTCACATCCGTTCCCTCTCATATCCCCCTTCCCGTCCCACCCCTGTGTGGTGCAGTGGTGGCAGCAGTCAACGGCCTCTTCTCTCTGCTCCTCATCGACTCGCTCCTCTCGGGTGCCTGCATCCCCCTCTTCCACGACTGCCATGCGCACCCTCTCAGCCATGCTGCTGCTACGCTTGTAACCTATGACCTGTGAGTGCAACCTAAATAACGTATGTGTAAGATCAACCTGCTTCCTTAGTGTAGCGTATGTGTAAACGCAACGTGTGTTCCCTCCCTCATCCCCTCCCACCTCTCTCATCGCCCACAACCCCTCCCATCATCCACATTGGCCACATCCCCTCCCGCCTCTCCCTCACACCGCCCTCATCCCCTTTGTCACTCTCATCGCCCTCATGCCCTCCCACCACTTTCACCGCCCCCATCCCCTCTGCACGTGCTGTTCATCCCAGGTCCAATATTAACCACACTCGCCACGCAGCATCTCTTCGCTCCCTCCACCAACCCTACTCCACCGGTGTCCACCACTCTGCACACAGCAGCAGCAGCAGACAAAGTCTCTTGCAACAGCAGCAACAAGACGAGCTTCAGTCCGAGGGGGGGTATCAGGAGGGGCAGGGAGGAGAAGAAGAGAACCAAGAAGATGGATCCGACATGCCCATGCACCACGATAGGAATAAGGATGGGAATGATGGGATTGGTGGGAGTGATGGGAGTCAAGATAATGATGATGAGAGCAGTGGGAGTAAAGATGGAAGGGCCGGGGATGACACCCATTCATCCGCAGGTCTCTCAGCCTCTGCAGCCTCTGCTGCCTTCTTCCTCTCTAGACTCGCCCGATCGCCAGGCGTTCACGTCACCCCGTATCCTGACGTGCCAGGAGCGTACATCCTGCAAACACCATCCACAACCCCCACACCCACACCCTCATCCTCCTCCTCCTCTTCCTCGTCTTCCTCCGCTCATCTTCAAGATGCTATCACCGACCCGTCACTAGATCCCACCAGCAGCACCGTTCCCCACCCCACTCCGCGCTGCGCCCTCCTCCTGCGGGACGTGTGCTACGTGCACATGCAGGGCGCCAGTCGCCTGCACCGCAGCAGCGCGGGCGTGTGGTTCGACCGCGAGGCGCTAGAGAGCGCTCTGGCAGGGGACCTGGGCGGGCAGGCCATCCACGCTGCCTCTGACCTGTCTAAGATCAACCTGGGGCTCGTGCAGCAGTGTGCTGCTGGGGAAGGTGGCGGTGCAGGTGGGGGGGACTTGAGTGCGAGTGGTACTGGGAGGGGGACTGGTGGTGATGGGAGCAGCAGCAGCGGCAGCAGTGAGGTTGCTGACGTTGATTCCATTGCTGAAGTGCTCTATGAGAAGATGGGGGGGTTTCTGAGTGCGGATGAAATGGCATTCTATGCCGCCTCTAGTGCCTCCCATGGAAAGCAAATCTTCCGTTCATCTGCTCTCTCTCCGCCGCCCGCTCTCCCCTTGGCTGTTGTCCTGCCTTCGGCCGGGCGGCAGAGTGAATTTGCTGACCTGGCAGATGCGCTGCATGACGTGGCACTCCACCTGCCGACCATTTCCAAGCCTAGCTCCCACCACCAACGTTCTTACCACATGGCTGGTTCAATCAAAATAAAGGGCCTGCAAGACAGTGGGTCGAGCTCAGTTGATTCTGCTTCCACTTCTGCTGGTACTGCTGGTGCTGATGCTGCTGTTGCTGCTGCTGGTACGACCGCTAGTGCTCCTGAAGATACTGAGTCCTCAACAGGCCCCCATCTTTTCCTCCCCTCCACTGCCCGCCCTCCTAACCTCTGGGTGGGCGGCGCAACTCGCCTGCTTCTCGGGCCTCAAGCCCTCGCCCTGCCGGGCAGGCGCGTCGGGCAGGTGAAATGTTTCCAGAACGCCGTTTTCATCCCGGGCAGGGAGCAAAAAACGAGGAGCCTCTGGGCTGTGGAGGCAATAAGGGAGAGAGCATGGCAGATGGTGGATGATGTAGAATCACTGGTGTCTAAAAGTTTATGGGGGGGTAGGAAGCTTGGAGTGGCCAGGACCCTGCAGGCCCAGGCACAGATAGAACTGAACAGGGACCTGAAGCGATTAAAGACGTTCTTTAAGGAGATGAGGAAGCGCACAGGAAGGTTCCACCATGTGACTGTGCTGGCGAGTGACGGGCAAGGGGGGAGGATAAAGGAAGGGGAGGGGAAGACAAGGGGGGATGGGGAGGGAGAAAGGGATGCGGACGGGGATGGGAACGGGGAGGGGGATGAAGGGGAGAGGGACGCGGGGATGGCGAATGCGGAGGGGGTGGCAGAGCTGGTGCGAGCCATGATGCCCAAGCTCACTGTTGATGTTGTGATGCTGTCCAATCGCTCCTTCATCGAGCAAGTCGCCATCATGAAGGTGTGCCTTCTCTCTCTTTCGCATGCTCTCTCTCTCTCTCTCTCTCTCTCTCTCTCTCTCTCTCTCTCTCTCTCTCTCTCTCTCTCTCTCTCTCTCGCTCTCCAACTCACTCTCTCGGTGTGTCCTTCAATTAACTCATCACAATCCGATATATCACATCAACTTATATGTCTGTCATTTCCAATTTTCCCCACTCTCTCCTCCCTCTCCTCCCTGCAGCGCACAGCTCTCCTAATCGCCATGCACGGCCCATCCCTCGCCAACACCCTCTTCCTCCCCCCCAACGCTACCCTCCTTGAGCTCTTCCCCCCGCACCTCCACTCCCCACAGCACTCCTCCCTCGCCGCCGCCTCCCATGTCCACTACTACAGCTGGCAGAACGCACACCCTCTCAACACCACATACACCTCTGACTGCATGGCGCGGGGGCAGTATGCACTCCTGCCTGCAGCCCTGTGTGCGGGGAAACCGGAGTGCCTGGCGTGTGTGAGAGACCGGTCGATGACGGCGGTGCACCTAGGGGAGCTGCGGGGCGTGCTGAGGAAGATTCAGCAGCCGCTGCGGGCTTTCTTCCTGGCTGCCCAGCACAGGCACAGGCGGAGAGGAATTATGTATGGATCTAGTAGTAGTTAGCCAATTTCCATGAAGGGGCCGCACCTGGGGGAGCTGAGGGGCATGCTGAGGAAGATTCAGCAGCCTCTGCGGGCTTTCTTCCTGGCACAGGAACAGGCACAGGCACAGGCGGAGAGGCATCTTGTATGGGTAGTCATCCACTAGTAGCAGCCAATTTGCATGGAAGTGGTGTGCATATGCGGGAGCTGTGGAAGATTCAGCAGCCGCTGTGGAAGTCCCCGCATTAGACCAGCATTTGAACATATCCCCGCTGTCTGATTATTCCGACGGAAAATATATGGATGCCTTTTTTTCTTGTAGTGTGCTCCGGTATGAGATTCCTCGGATTGAGCATGTTGAGTGTGCTTTGATCTCTCGGATTGAGTGTGTTGATATCAGTCACCAGCATTGTGTGCTGCCTCCCTGCCTGCCACACAAAAGGATATGTATACTACAGAGCATATTACCAGCATTGTGTGCTGCCTGCCTGCCTGCCATGTCCCACCCATGCTTAACCAGTCAAGTCAAGCCCAGTCAAGCAGCGACAAAGTAAACAAAAGCGGCAAGTGGAGGAGAGAGGCAGATGCTATTGATTCGGCGCCGCCAGTCCTATGCAAGAGGTTGATTTCAGTGCAGAGCACGCGGTCCTTCCTTGCCAATGATACAGAGGTGGTCCGGGTGCGCGAGATGAAGGGCGCAGATGCTACAGGTCAGCGCTCCCAGACTGACACGGGAATTTCATCTCAGTGCAGAGCACGCGGTCCTTGGCAATGATGCAGAGCTGGTCCGGGTGTGCGAGAGGAGGAAGGCAGATGGAGGGGTGTGGTGGCGAGAGGAAGGGGGCAGATGCTACAGGTCAGCATCGCCAGTCCTACAGGGGAACTTCATCTCAGTGCACAGCATGCGGTCTTTGCCAATGATGCACAGGCGGTCCTGATACACGTCCACATGCCAGAACACGAGGCAGATCGCGACAGGTGTGGGGGTACGGTGAGAGGAGAGAGGCAGGGGGCAGATGCTACAGATCAGGAGCGCCAGGCCTACAGGGGAACTTCATCTCAGTGCAGAGCATGCGGTCTTTGCCAATGATGCAAAGCCGGTCGGGATACACATCCACATGCCCAAACGCCACCGTGCCAGGGGGGCACTCCACTGCGCCCTCCAGAATGCGGTGGTGAATGCCTCTGGCGTCGAGCGCATATGCTCCGAAGTGCGCGTGCCCTGCTATCACTGCTGCCACACACTCATGCCTGTGAATGGTTGCTAGCACCTGATGGGGAGTATTGGAGTGGTTGGGGAAAGGAGGGAAGGGGGAAGAGGAGAGATGGGTGCAGGCAGGTGAGAAGGTGGGGGGTGTGTACAAATGGGGGAGAGGGGGGACGGGTGAAAGCAGTTGGTAGAACAAGCTGACATGGTTATAGTCCCGACTCGACTCCCAAGAGACTCATATCGACACAGTTCCAAGGGTCATGCTCACCTCATCATAGTTCCAGACAAGGCAGGTGGCGGTGGGCAGAGCAGAGGGATTTTAAGTCTTGTGGGTCGACTCAAAAGTGACGCTCACCTCATCATAGTTCCAGACAAGGTGGCGGTGGGCAGAGCAGAGGGATTTTAAGTCTTGTGGGTCGACTCAAAAGTGACGCTCACCTCATCATAGTTCCAGACAAGGCAGGTGGCGGTGGGCAGAGCAGAGGGATTTTAAGTCTTGTGGGTCGAATCAAAAGTGACGCTCACCTCATCATAGTTCCAGACAAGGCAGGTGGCGGTGGGCAGAGCAGAGGGATTTTAAGTCTTGTGGGTCGACTCAAAAGTGACGCTCACCTCATCATAGTTCCAGACAAGGCAGGTGGCGGTGGGCAGAGCAGAGGGATTTTAAGTCTTGTGGGTCGAATCAAAAGTGACGCTCACCTCATCATAGTTCCAGACAAGGCAGGTGGCGGTGGGCAGAGCAGAGGGATTTTAAGTCTTGTGGGTCGACTCAAAAGTGACGCTCACCTCATCATAGTTCCAGACAAGGCAGGTGGCGGTGGGCAGAGCAGAGGGATTTTAAGTCTTGTGGGTCGAATCAAAAGTGACGCTCACCTCATCATAGTTCCAGACAAGGCAGGTGGCGGTGGGCAGAGCAGTGGGCTCGATGGGCTGGTGGCAGCACAGCACCACTGTCTCTCCCAACGCATCGCACTCCTGGTGATGGGAATTGGACGGCACTACAGGATGAGTTCAGCATGAGCAGCTTCCAAGGGTTCATTGTTCAAAAGCGAGAGATGTCCATTGTGGGCCCTGAAAGGATGCCAAAATGCCCCAAAAGGAAGAAGGGATGAGGTGCGAAGCCAAGGAAAGAAGGCGCGGGTTGGAGGACCTACTGAGAGCACGCCTTCCAGCCACTGGAGCTGCTCCTCCCCCACGCCTCCGTTGAACTTCACAAACCGCCTGCCGGCATGGACAGGCAGAGAGGGAGCAGTGGCAGCGAGTGAGGCTCACGAATAAGTGCATTCTCAGTGCATCCCTCACTGCGCGTGAGTGGTGTGGGTGCGATGCAATCCCCTCTGAATCGACCCAAACCCTCACTCACTCACTTCCTTTGACTCTCCTGTTGGGAACCTCGACAGGGCTATCCTTCTCCTAGTTGGGATGATGCACCTTCTCCCTCTCCAGCCCTTCTCCAGCACCTTCTCCCTCTCCAGCACCTTCTCCCTCTCCAGCACCTTCTCCCTCTCCAGCACCTTCTCCCTCTCCAGCACCTTCTCCCTCTCCAGCACCTTCTCCCTCTCCAGCACCTTCTCCCTCTCCAGCACCTTCTCCCTCTCCAGCACCTTCTCCCTCTCCAGCACCTTCGCCCTCTCCAGCACCTTCTCCCTCTCCAGCACCTTCTCCCTCTCCAGCACCTTCTCCCTCTCCAGCACCTTCTCCCTCTCCAGCACCTTCTCCCTCTCCAGCACCTTCTCCCTCTCCAGCACCTTCTCCCTCTCCAGCACCTTCTCCCTCTCCAGCACCTTCTCCCTCTCCAGCACCTTTCTCCGCCTCTCTGCATGCGGATGGTGCACTGATCCCTCCCTGAATGCACCCACAACTTGCCTCCAGCACCTCCCCACCCTCAACACACCTACAGGCTCTCACCTGTTCAACCCTTCGAGCCCCTCAGGGCGGTTCTTCTCCTCGTTGGGATTCTCCCTCTCCAGCACCTCCCTCGCCCTCCCCTCACTGAACCCTCAATGGACCCCCCCACATACTTGCCTCCCTTCAGACTCTCTCACCTGTTCAACCCTTCGAGCCCCTCAGGGCTGTTCTTCTCCTCGTTGGGATTTTCCCTCTCCAGCACCTCTCTCGCCCTCACTGCGTGTGGGTGGTCCTCAGGCCACCCCAGCAAACTCACGTCGTACGAATCAAGAACTACGAACCTGGACGCACAGGAGGGGGATGGGTGGGGGAAAATGTGTGGGGGGTTTGAGCGGAGTATTAAAGGCTTAGTTGACTCACACGTGCGGATGGTCCTCACGCCACCCCAGCAGACTCACGTTGTACAAATCCAGTACTACGAACCTGGACGCACAGGAGGGGGGTGGGAAGGGCGTATAGAGGGGAAAACAAAGAGCTGTTCCGTATGCACAACCAAGGAGGTGGGCGCAAAGAATGGCGTAGAAAAGGAAGAAAAAGGAAGGGCGCAGAGTGGGGCACAGAGGAGGTGCGCAGATCGAGGCGCAGAGAGGGGAACAAAGACGGGGAGAATCATGAGAGCATTCGAAAGAAATGGGGAAAAGACAGAGAAGGGGACGGGCGCATGAGTTTGAGGAAGCACGATGATACCTAAAGTTAGGGAAGGGCGAGAAGTCATAGTAAGAGCGGTTGTCAGCAGCGGTGGGGATGGCGAGCATCTTATTGAGAGCCACGCGGGGCAGATTGTACAAGCAGTGGTTGCCTGGACGGCGGAGCAGTGGGCGGGGTAACAAATGAAAACGGCACATACGCATGAGACAGAAAAGATGCACAGAAGTCTAGACAGGATGAATGGAAGAAAGATGAGCGGGCTGAATACAAAATCGTGTTGAAGCGTCTCAGAGAGTGAATGCACTCGACTGGACACAAGACAGGGTGGTCTGTGCAGTCAATGTGGTGGGTGCAAAGAGCGAAACTAACTACTGGTTGGGTGGTGGCGTACCGATCATATGGTATGTGGGACCGGCTGAGAAGCCGGCCATTGCATCCAGAACCTGAAACGTGCAATGGGAGTGGGGTAGGGTGGCGAGATGGGGTGGGGGTAGGGTAATGAGGTGGGTACGGGAGGATAGTGAGATGGGATGGGAATAGAGTAGTGAGGTGGGGTGGTGGGGGCAGGTAGTGGTGAGATGGGGTGAGGGTAGGGAAGCGAGATGGGTGGGGTAGGGTAGTGAGACTCTACTGCCAATCGTGTCAGGTCAACGATTTCAGTCAACGTTGACAGACCAGCCAGGCTCACTGTGTTCACAGCTTCTTCGGATCCCTCTCTGGGGCAGAAGCCGTCCACAATGCCGCCATGCTTGTGTGACTTTCGAGAACTCTCTAAAGCGACTCAAGCATAGACATGATAAACTCACCGTGTTCACAGCTTCCTCGGATCTGTCCCTAGGGCAGAAGCCGTCAACAATATCGCCGAAATGAACCGCAAACGACATCGGACGCGTTGATTGGTTCCAATCCTCCACCGCCTTCTTTACCACTGGTGAGGGAAAGGGCGGTAGGGAAGCGGGGAAACGGGGTAGGGGGATGCGGGATGGGAAAATTTAGGGTACAGGAAAGCGAGGTGTGGAAGATGGGGATAGGGGAAAGCGGGGTGGGGGAGAGGAGGGTCGGGAAGAGCGGGGTGAGGAAACACACGGAAAGGCACAAAAAGGAAGAGCGGGCGACGAGGGAGAGAGGCCACCGCAACGGGACATGGTCGGACGTCGACTTTAAACGCGCTGTGATGAAAACTGAGGGAGGAGAACAAGAAGGAAACGCACAATTGAGCCTGCTTGCGAGAAATTGTGTCCACAGGGACAGCGGACAAGACGGAACAGGGTTGCAGACAGAAGAGTTAAGGCAATGTAACACAATGAGAAGCAATGTTCGAAGACGGGCTGAAGCATTGTCTGAAGCGGCAGCTAGAGTGCAGCGGGTTGAAGCGCTGTGTCGATTACCTTGGAGGCTATGGCGGTAAAACCTCGGGATGCCGAGGAAGGATTGGCCGTCGTTGATATCGGCGTATCTGCAAGCGAGGGAGCGGCAAGTTGTAGGCACGTATGCGTGAGAGTTCGCCCGTGCCGCGAGGGACAACCTAAATTGTCAACAACCAGCGTCTCTAGATTACGGAGGGACAATGTCGTGCACTGAATTTGAGCGGAAACACCTGTTCGTGAGCTTTTTAGGCATCCGTGAACAATGGTAAGGAAGAGGTGAAGCTGGGAAGGAATAGGCTATGCGCGACATACTGAACATCGGTGATGACCCCGAAGGAAAACAACGGCTTTCTGCCCTTATCATCTTCGCGCTTCGACAGATACGAGCCCTGCACTGGCGGGCCTAGCGGTCTCCGCTTCGGTAACGACAATTGCTGCTGGAGAAAATTCTGCGGACTAACTAAACTGGAGGAACTGGAAGAAGTGTTAACTATCGCTATTCCTCCGTCACTATTTCTGACATCGTCCACTTGACCGTCCTCGTCTACCCGAGGGTCTTCAATTGCCTTCGGACCCTCGGGATTGTCGCGCAGCTCGGCACACGCGGAGGCCTCTGATTGGTCGGAGAAACTCTGGCGAGTCGTTTCTTCCAGCTTGTCCTGCCGCTGCTGAAAAAAGGCCCAGAAGTCGTTGCCTCCTCGCAGGGAGGTCGGACGGACGTCGTAAGCGAGCGGGAGCGGGCTGGGCTGTGATGCGAGTTGAAGCAGGGGAGAGGAAGTCATAGTGAAACGATAACGCATTCGATTTATACCTCTCTCGCCATCGTCGAAGAGTATATTAAAAAATGTAGTGGAGAATCAACAAGGCGGTTCTCAGTCAGCCTGGGTTGTCGCCGAAAAAACAGCAAAACGTGCTGTGGCGAAGGCAGGAAGTGGGGAACACATCGAACACACCGAGAGATCGAGGTGGTGTAATGGGGAGTAGGGCTGAAGGGAAGTGGAAGGAAACGCGGCACTACCGAGGGAACATAACTGAAAGCAGAGTTGACGGAAAACGCGACGGCAAAATAATGGAACGCCAAGAGGTGGGGACCATTTCACAGACAGGTTCGTGTCAGATTTCGTGCTGCTGTGCTATTGGTGCTCGTGCGACGGTTTACGGCATCTGGTTGGTGGAAGCCTGACGTGAGAATGTCTGGTTCTGTCTGCCTCGTCGACATCGCGCTGGCCCGACACGGAGCAGTCATTCTCACTGCTGGCTTGCAGCTTCGAATGCAATTGCCTGCACTCTGCTGAGAGTGTACATTGCCCTCATCCATCAAAGAGTACTCGATATAGAACCTCGCTAGTATTTACACAATCATGCACACTGAACGTGAAAGTGAAGTTTATGAATCAGAAAAACATGTAGTCAACCTGTTGTGTACGAGAAATTATGCATGTTACCTGGATCGTTAGCGGGTACAGAACCTGAGTGGTCATTCTCATGTCGTTTGTCCCAAATATGCTCCACCGTCAGCTGCCACTCCACCGCATTGGCCTGTTGCTAGAACGCGCGATTGCAAGCAGGGAGCGCGATTGTGAGCAGCAATCGCGATTGCAAGCAGCTGACGACGGTCGCGCGAATTGCGGAAGGCACCGTCAGAAGCTGAAGATGCCTCTGCGCGCCTGAACCGTGCTTCAGAGCTTTCTGGTAGCTGGGTTCTTCACTCTTACAGTTGCGTGCGCTTCACGCTACTTCGAGAATAACTTTTTCTCTGCCTCTCGTGAGAGCCACGCGACGTTCTCGAAGCCATCCCGAGGCGCTGTAGAAGGCACATTTGACGCTTAGACGGCCTTAGAGTCGATTAGGAACGCGATTAAGGAACGAAAAAGCGAAAGAGGGGACGAAGAGGACAGGAAGGGGTAGGAGGACGAGTCTCGATCGAGGCGAGGCTGAAAAGGGGAGAAACAGGAGGAGCGCGAGGGGGGAGAAGGGGGCTGGAGAGGAGAGGAAGGGGAAGAGGGGCGACGAGAAAGGGAAGCGGGGATGGCGCAGCAGGGAGGGGCCGGGCGGGGGGGAGGGCGTGGGCCACCGCTGCAAGCGGGGGGGGGACACGGAGGGGGCGGAAGGGGAGGGGGGCCGCAGCAGGCAGGCGGGACGGATCCCGCGCCTGCTGCGATCACGTTCACTAAGGACCCGGTGATGGAAGACAAGCGGCCGCGCAAGATGTGAGTGTAATGGATGGGCGAGCGAATACTGGGCGAAATATGGGAATCAAACAACCATTCCTGCTGCGATCACGTTCACTAAGGACCCGGGATGGAAGACAAACGGCCGCGCAAGATGTGAGTCGGGGAGAAAAGGGAAGGGAGGGCGAAGAGTTGGCGAATAGTGAGCGAATAGTGTGCGAACAGTGGGAAGGCACACAATTGCGCCTGCTGCGATCACGTTCACTAAGGACCTGGTGATGGAAGACAAACGGCCATGGAAGATGTGAGTGGGGGAGGGGATGTGTGGGTGCATGAAGAGGGAAGTTTAGATCCCCTAAAGAGCGTGCGGTTCGGCGCACTGAGCGCACTCAAGATAATAAGAGAGCACATGTTTGCTCCACGCAACCTCCTTCCCCAAATCTACCCTCCCTCACGCTCCACCCAACCCCAGTCAGCAAGAGCGTGCGGTTCAGCACAAGGAACGTGCACGTGATTATGAGGAGTGCGCATTTTTTTTCCGTGGCAACTCCCCCCCTCCCCTTTCCCCACCCCCAATCCACCCTCTCCCTCCCATTCAACCCCCCCTGATGTTGGCAGCAAGAGCGTGCGGTTCAGCACAATGAGTGCGCACGAGATAATGAAGAGCGTGCTTATGTGCTCCATGCATACTCCCCCCACGCTCCCCAATTCACCCTCCCTCCTCGTCCACCCAACCCCTGGCAGCAAGAGCGTGCGGTTCAGCACAATGAGTGCGCATGAGATAATGAAGAGTGCGGAGGTGCAGGTATCAGAGAGGAGTCTGTACCAGCTGCCAGAGCGCAAGCCCACGCCCTTTGGCGTGCTAGACCCTCGCCTGGTGAGTGAGGATGCTGTGCTTCAAGGCTCGTGAGTGTGCGTGCTTGATCGATCCAAGGTTGGACTTTCAGATGCCAGGATTTTGAAAATCGATGCGTTGAGTTGAGTGGCCCGTTTGTCTTTTGTCTGTAATCATTCTTCTCTTTGACTGTTTTTGTTCTTCGTTGCTGCCCACGTCCAGGGAACGACGAGCAAGAAGGGCGAGTGCACGACGTGCAACGGCACGCTGCAGGACTGTGCGGGGCACTTTGGGTACATTCGCCTGGAGCTGCCAGTGTACCACATGGGGTACTTTAAAGTCATTCTGCTCATCATGCAATGCATCTGCAAGGTAGGTTATGACTGGCTATAATTGCCACTACTAGGTGCTTGGTAATACAGCAGCAAGGGGGGCACTTTGGGTACATTCGCCTCGAGCTGCCGGTGCACCACATGGGGTACTTCAAAGTCATTCTGCTCATCATGCAATGTATCTGCAAGGTAGGGGATTGTTATGTTGGTACTTGGCACCTGGTACTTGGGGTACTTCAAATTAAAGTCATTCTGCTCATCATGCAATGTATATGCAAGGTAGGTCGTGACTGGGGGATGATGAAGTGCATGTGTGTCACATGGGTTGCTCGGATGGTTCAGCTGCCGGTGTACCACATGGGGTACTTCAAAGTCATTCTTCATGCATCTGCAAGGTGACTTTGGTATTGTTAATTATGGAATGCATGCCTTTGCACCTGTGTTCAATGCGCGTATTCTGCTGAGAATGAAGAGTGCCGGCAGCAGCTTAAGAAGTTTCCGAGGCGCCTGGAAATAACCGTCGCACCATGGATGGAGATCTGTACCTGCATTTGATTAGATCTCACATCACATCATGATGTCTTCCACCACACAACACCATACCACACCACACCACACCACACCACACCACACCACACCACACCACACCGCACCACACCACACCACACCACACCACACCACACCACACCACACCACACCACACCACACCTCACCTCACCCCACCTCACCCCACTTCACCGCATGCAGAACTGTGGGCGCATTTTGCTGAGCGACGAGGAGCGGCGGCAGTGGCTGAAGAAGTTCCGGCACCCGCGGGTGGAGGTGCTGCAGAAGAAGGCCATGGTGAAGCGCGTTTCAGAGCGGTGCAAGCGCACCAGGATGTGCCACTACTGCGGGGACCACAATGGTGAGAAGGGTTGTTGAGTGTGTGTGCTGGTAGGGGGGAAAGGCAACGATGCACCCAGTGTTTCCAGTACCGGCACCCAGTGTTTCCAGTACCGGCACCCAGTGTTTCCAGTACCGGCACCCAGTGTTTCCAGTACCGGCACCCAGTGTTTCCAGTACCGGCACCCAGTGTTTCCAGTACCGGCACCCAGTGTTTCCAGTACCGGCACCCAGTGTTTCCAGTACCGGCACCCAGTGTTTCCAGTACCGGCACCCAGTGTTTCCAGTACCGGCACCCAGTGTTTCCAGTACCGGCACCCAGTGTTTCCAGTACCGGCACCCAGTGTTTCCAGTACCGGCACCCAGTGTTTCCAGTACCGGCACCCAGTGTTTCCAGTACCGGCACCCAGTGTTTCCAGTACCGGCACCCAGTGTTTCCAGTACCGGCACCCAGTGTTTCCAGTACCGGCACCCAGTGTTTCCAGTACCGGCACCCAGTGTTTCCAGTACCGGCACCCAGTGTTTCCAGTACCGGCACCCAGTGTTTCCAGTACCGGCACCCAGTGTTTCCAGTACCGGCACCCAGTGTTTCCAGTACCGGCACCCAGTGTTTCCAGTACCGGCACCCAGTGTTTCCAGTACCGGCACCCAGTGTTTCCAGTACCGGCACCCAGTGTTTCCAGTACCGGCACCTCTGGCACGAATGGATGCAAGTGCTGACAGGCACCCTAAGCCCCGACATGGGCGCCAAGGATGAGGTGGTGAGGCGCATCATGCATGGAGGCAGCCGTGGAGGCAACAGTGAAGGCAGACCCACACCTATACCCTAAACCCTGAATCATATGCCCATGCTGCACGCCACGTGTTGCAGGCACTGTGAAGAAGCTGACCGGCACGCTCAAGCTATCTCACGACACGTAGGCACCGTGAAGAAACTAACTGGAACACTCGAGCTATCCCATGACAAGTACGGCAAGGATATGGACGCCAAGGATGATGTGGTGAGGCGCATCATGCATGGAGGCAGCCGTGGAGGCAACAGTGAAGGCAGACCCACACCTATACCCTAAACCCTGAATCATATGCCCATGCTGCACGCCACGTGTTGCAGGCACTGTGAAGAAGCTGACCGGCACGCTCAAGCTATCTCACGACACGTAGGCACCGTGAAGAAACTAACTGGAACACTCAAGCTATCCCATGACAAGTACGGCAAGGATATGGACGCCAAGGATGATGTGGTGAGGCGCATGGGGGCAGCTGTGGAGGCGAGCCCACACTTAAACTGAACCACTAACTGTTTTTGAACCCTATCTTCCAGGCACTGTGAAGAAGCTGACTGGTACCCTCAAGCTATCCCATGACAAGTATGGGAAAGATATGGACGCCAAGGACGACGTGGTGCGGCGCATGGAGGCAGCGGTGGAGGCGAACAAGGAGATAGCGCAGCACTCGAGCAAGGTGGCGGACGACCTCAACCCCGTCAGAGTGCTGTGGCTCATGGAGCGCATGCTGGATGAGGTGCGCACAGACCTTTGGTGCATCAACAATTCTGCCCCCTTGATTTGAGCTGTTACTTGGTGTAGGAGTCGCCTCGCCTCGCAGCACTCGAGCAAGGTGGCGGATGACCTCAACCCCGTCAGAGTGCTGTGGCTGCTGGAACGCATGCTGGATGAGGTACGGGTTGTTTTGAGGTGCCATAGATTAGAACTGTTGACAGTTTTTGTGGCACCTCACTAGGCAGCACTCCAGGAAGGTGGCAGGCAGACGACCTCAACCCCGTCAGAGTGCTGTGGCTGCTGGAACGCATGCTAGATGAGGTGCGGGTTGTTTCGACGCGCCTGTTTCTGCAATGGTGGCCATCCGTCCGGCCGTCGGTGGTGCTGGAGTCGGCAGCGGGGCCTCATCGTGACACACTTGTTGATGCCCCACCTTTACTTCTTCCCCTTCTCTTCCCAGCCTACCCAGGACTGTGAGCTTCTAGACCTCTACTATCGCCCCGAGCGCCTCATAGTAACGCACCTGTTGGTGCTGCCAGTGGCCATCCGTCCATCGGTGGTGATGGCGTCGGCCATGTAATGTTCCCCTGCCTGCTCTGCTCTGCACCACTTCCCCTCACTTCTCCTCTTTTCCCCCTCCTCCCCCCTCCCCCTCACCCTCCGCTCCCCACCCCAGGACTGCGAGCTTCTAGACCTCTACTATCGCCCCGAGCGCCTCATAGTAACACACCTGTCGGTCCCCCCAGTGGCCATCCGTCCGTCCGTGGTGATGGAGTCAGCGGCGGGGAGCAACGAGGACGATGCGACGATGAAGCTGGCGGTGATCATCGAGGTCAACAGCGCGCTCCGACTCGGCATTCAGAAAGGGCTGCCCATGCCCAACCTCGTGGTGAGTGCAGGGCTCTGGGGTTCGGGGTTTTGGGGTTGGGGGTGGAAGGAGGAGCGGGGAGCAACGAGGACGATGCGACGATGAAGCAGACGGTGATCATTGAAGTCAACAGCGCGCTCCGACTTGGCATCCAGAAGGGGCTGCCCATGCCCAACCTCGTGGTCAGTGCACGGTTCTGTGGTTTCAGAGGGTTCAGGGTAGAAGAATTCGGGGTTCAGGGTTTAGGGTCTCTACATCAACTCCCTGGTTGCACTTCTCACCTCTCCCCATTTCTCATAGTAAATCTGTTCTCTAAATGCCTCTGCACACAAACAGGAGAACTGGGACTTCCTTCAGCTCCAAGTGGGCCTCTACATCAACTCGGAGCTGCCAGGGCCGCCGTTGGCAGCGCAGCCCACAAAGCCTGATGCACGCCTCACCTCTCAATATCTCATCCTCCCTATCTGCAAATCGGTTATTTCCTATGCCCCTGTATGCTTAACAGGAGAACTGGGACTTCCTGCAGCTGCAAGTGGGGCTTTACATCAACTCGGAGCTCCCCGGCCTGCCCCTAGCAGCGCAGCCCACGAAGCCGACTAGAGGGTTTGTGCAGCGGCTGAAGGGCAAGCAGGGGCGGTTCCGGCAGAACCTGTCGGGCAAGCGTGTGGACTTCAGTGGCCGCACTGTCATCTCCCCGGACCCCAACCTCAAGATCTCCGAGGTGCGTGGTAGCATCATAAGGAGTGGCAGTAGCAGTGTGCAGAATACTCCCTCCCAGTGAGCAGCGTCCACTCCTCTCCCCTCCTCTCCCCCTCTCCCCTCCCTTACCCCCTCCTAGAATGCCTGCCCGCCACGGCCACCTTTGTTTTTTCCAGGTGGCGGTGCCGATGCACATGGCGCGGCGCAGGTGCTGGCATTCCCTGAGGTGGTGAGCCTGGCCGGCACTAGTCTTGCCAGCGCCGGCTCCTCTCCTCTCCCATCCCTTACTCCCTCTTCAAACCTGCCTGCCGCCCCTGTTCCCTCCAGGTGGCGGTGCCAATGCACATGGCGCAGCTGCTGACGTTCCCCGAGGCGGTGAGTCGACACTACCAGTGGACTCCTCCTCTCGCGCCCCTTACTCCCGTCCATGCCCCTTACGCCTGCCACCTCACATTCCCCCAGGTGGCGGTGCTGATGCACATGGCGCAGCTGCTGACGTTCCCCGAGGCGGTGAGTCGGCTCAGGTCTTGCCAGCACTCACTCCTCTCCCCCCTTTTACCCACTACTTCCATGCCCTTTTCAACCACACCAGGTGGCGGTGCCCATGCACATGGCGCAGCTGTTGACGTTCCCCGAGGCGGTGAGTCGGCACAACATCCACAAGCTGAGGCAGCTGGTCATCAACGGCACCGCCAAGTACCCAGGGGCTAACTTCGTGCTCTACCCCAACGGCAACAAGTGGTGCGTGTGCTTTCCAAGTACCCAACTGCACCTCCAGTCCCCAAGCCGGGACTGCAGCTCCAGTCCCCAAGCCGGGACTGCAGCTCCAGTCCCCAAGCCGGGACTGCAGCTCCAGTTCCGTGTTACACTGCAAAGAGGTTCACGCGTCTCCGTGACATGCCCGTGTTTCATCCTCATGCCCATGCATCCACCACATGGCTCCCTTCACCCGTGTCCTTTGCCCCACACCAGGTTCCTCAAGTACGAGGACATAGTGGAGAGGTTTTTGAGGCGCCTTTTGAGGCGATTTTTTAGGCGCCTCAAAAATCCACCACATGGCTCCCTTCACCCGTGTCCTTTGCCCCACACCAGGTTCCTCAAGTACGAGGACATAGTGGAGAGGCATATGGAGGACGGCGACATGGTGCTGCTATATGTGACTGTGCTGCATTCACATGTCTTGCCTCTCACCCTTGAACGTCGCCCCAGGTTCTTGAAGTATGGGGACAGAAGGAGAGTGGCAGCTCAAGTACGGGGACATAGTGGAGAGGCATCTGGAGGATGGCGACATGGTGCTGCTATATGTGACTGTGCTGCTTTGGTGCTGCTATATTTGCCTTTCACATTCCAGTGTTGAATTCACATGCCTTGTCCCTCACATTACCCACCCGTCCCGCACGTTCCCCAGATATAGAGACAGGAGGAGAGTGGCAGCAAAGCTCAAGTACGGGGACATAGTGGAGTGGAGAGGCACCTGGAGGACAGGACATGGTGCTGTTGTGACCTTTCTCAGCTGTGGTCACACACACCCCTGCTGCACATGCCTGTGCTGCATTCACATGCCTTGTCCCTCACCTCACTCGCCCGTCCCGCAGGTTCCTCAAGTATGGAGACAGAAGGAGGGTAGCAGCAGAGCTCAAGTACGGGGACATAGTGAAGGGGCATCTGGAGGACGGTGACATGGTGCTGTTCAATGCGCCTCCTTCACATGCCCGTATCTCATCCACATGCCTCCCTTCACCCATGTCCTTTGCCCCAGGTTCCTCAAGTATGGAGACAGAAGGAGAGTAGCAGCAGAGCTCAAGTATGGGGACATAGTGGAGAGGCATCTGGAGGACGGCGATATGGTGCTGTTTAACCGCCAGCCCAGCCTACATCGCATGTCCATCATGTGCCATCGGGTATGGTGGAGTGTGGATCGTGGTGTGCATGAGTGGTTGTCTGCATGGGTGGTGCTGCATGGGCAGTACCGCATCGCATGCCCATCATGTGAGGGTGAAACGCATCCTGCTATAGGCTGGGCTGCATGTATGTGAGGGTGATGTGAATATGTGTTGTCATAGCGCTAATGACATATTCAACACATCCTTCTCTTTTCTCCTTCATGCATTGCTTGCAGGCGAGGGTGATGCCATGGAAGACACTTCGCTTCAACGAGAGTGTGTGCAATCCATACAATGCGGATTTCGATGGCGATGAGATGAACATGCACGTGCCGCAAACCGAGGAGGCCAGGACAGAAGCCCTGCTTCTCATGGGGGTATGTGCGGCAGTTCAGTGCGGTTCAGTATGCTTTCAAGGAGTTCGATGCGTTTTTGTTTGGTTTTGGTGAGTTTACTTGCGATATGTTGGCGTTTCTGGCAGTAATCCCAACAATCCTCAACTCTCGACCCCTTTCCTCTCCATCAATCTCTCTCGTATCCCTCTGTAAGGTGGTATACAATCTGTGCTCGCCCAGCAAGAAAAGTGGCAACCTCGTGCCCTTTGAGGCAATCCGGATCTCATCTCCTTCTATATCTCTGCGTTGAACCAATCTCTCTTGATGCACCTGTCAGGTGGAGAACAACCTGTGCACGCCCAAGAACGGGGAGATTCTAGTCGCCTCCACGCAGGACTTCCTCACCTCCGCCTTCCTCATCACCAGACGGTACACCGCCACTCCTACCCCTCTCCAGCTGTGCACATTACACAGCATGGTGAGTTTCAAGCATCTCTTCATTCCCCTTCCTCGTCTGAACCGTCACCCCCCGATCCCGCCCATCACCCTCCCTGTACCCCTTCCATTACCCTCCCAGGGACACCTTCTATGATCGAGCCTCCTTCTGCCTGCTCTGTTCATACATGACGGACGGCGCCATGCAAGTGGACATCCCCACGCCCGCGCTGCTCAAGCCAGTGGAGCTGTGGACGGGCAAGCAGCTCATAGGCGTGCTCGTGCGCCCCTCCGCGCACGACCGCGTATTTGTCACGCTCGGCGTGCCCGAGAAGACCTACAGCAAGAAGGGCGGGCCCTTCTGTGTGAACGATGGGTTTGTCTTCTTCCGCAACAGCGAGCTGCTCTCGGGGCAGCTGGGGAAGGCCACTCTAGGTGAGCGTGTTGGCATTTTCGAGAATGTCTAGGGTAGGTGTGGTGGGGGAGAAGACCTACAGCAAGAAGGGCGGGCCCTTCTGTGTGAACGATGGGTTTGTCTTCTTCCGCAACAGCGAGCTGCTCTCGGGGCAGCTGGGGAAGGCCACTCTAGGTGAGCGTGTTCGCATTTTCGAGAATGTCTAGGTGTGGTGGGGGAGAAGACCTACAGCAAGAAGGGCGGGCCCTTCTGTGTGAACGATGGGTTCGTGTTCTTCCGCAACAGCAAGCTGCTGTCGGGGCAGCTGGGGAAGGCCACTCTAGGTGAGCTCCAGGCAGGAATTCAGCTTCAACCAATTGATCAAAACAAACCTTGTTCTTGCGCGCTTGCTTGCATTCAGCAGGCTGTCGTTTGCAGCCCATTAGTATCCACACGGTCTCTCGTTCTCCCCATCTGTGTTTTGAGTACAAACAGATGGTATACACCCAAAGTACACGCAGCCAACCATTGTGCTACCTTCTCCTCGTCGCTTGTGTGCATGCGTGCAGGCAACGGCAGCAAGCTGGGTCTGTTTGCGCTGCTCATGCGCGAGTACTCGGCGCAAGTGGCTGCCGTGTGCATGAACCGACTGGCCAAGCTCAGGTGAGGGACCGGGATAGGGTGAGGGGATGTGCGAGGGTGTTGGATATGACTCGAAAAGTGCCGCGTCTCTCCATTCCGCTCTCTTCTTCCTAGTGTTCACACACCCTTCGCACTATCACTCTCCACCCCCCAACCCCCTCCCAATGCGAGGTGGATAGGCGACCAAAGCTTTTCCATCGGCATAGACGACGTGCAGCCGTACTGTACGCGGAGAAGCAGAGGGCGGAGGAGGAGGGGTACGATACGAGCCATCTCCCTTCCACTCCCCTCCCCTCCCCTCCCCTTCCCACCCCTATCAGTGCGAGGTGGATTGGCAACCACGGGTTCTCCATCGGGATAGACGACGTGCAGCCGTCCAAGCATCTGTACAACGAGAAGCAGCGGGCCGTGGAGGAGGGGTACGATGCGAGTCTGCAGCACATCCAGGCGTTCAACGAGGGGAGGTTGACTCTGCAGCCCGGGTGCAACGCTGCCCAGACACTAGAGGCGAATATTACCGGCGAGCTGAACAGGATTCGAGAGGAGGCAGGGAAGGTGAGACTGAGAAGAGACAAAGGCTAAATCGTGCATGAGAAATGTGGTGAGCACCAGGAGCTAGGTTGAGCAGAGGATTGCAGAGAGGATCAAACCATGTAGCCCCTGAAATCCCCTCTTACCCCTCTTCCTTCCTTCCCCACACCACCCAGGTGTGTCTGCGGGAGCTGCATTGGCGCAACAGCCCGCTCATCATGTCACAGTGTGGGTCCAAGGGGTCGAAAAGAGCACCAAGAGTCGACAGAAAGGCGGGCAGGAACAGGGTCGAACCAGGTAGCTCCTGATCCCCTTCCTCCCTTATCCCCTCTTACCCCCACACTGATTCCAGGTGTGTCTGCGGGAGCTGCATTGGCGCAACAGTCCGCTCATCATGTCACAGTGCGGGTCCAAGGGGTCGCCCATAAACATATCGCAGATGGTCGCCTGTGTGGGCCAGCAGTCTGTGGGCGGCAAGCGAGCGCCCAACGGGTTCCTCCACCGCTCCCTCCCGCACTTCCCCCGCCACGACCGCTCTCCCCAGGTGTGCAATGTGGTGCTGGTGGTGTGCGGTGCGGTGCTGCTGGGTTTGGTATGATGGCACGTGGTTCTCTGCGGTTGGAATGGCCTGGTCAGCGATCTGTAGGTGTGCAACACAATCTTGTTACATTGCTGTGGAGTGCAGTAAAATATAGCACAGCTCATGGCTGACCCATTGTTCTGGAGCTCTTATTACCTTCTCGCTCTCCTCACCACCACCACGGCAGGCGAAGGGCTTCGTGGCAAACTCGTTCTACAGCGGGCTGACACCCACGGAGTTTGTGTTTCACACCATGGGCGGCCGAGAGGGGCTCGTCGATACCGCTGTGAGTGCCCCTCCCTCCACCCACATCCTTCCCCTCACCTCATGAACGCAACTTGCTTGCACTGCACACCCACGGAGTTTGTGTTTCACACCATGGGCGGCCGAGAGGGTCTCGTTGACACTGCTGTGAGTGCTTGCTCCGCCCGCCCACATCCTTCCATTGTCATCTCACCTCTCCTCCCCACCTTCGTACAGCTCTTATAACGCAAATATCTTGCACTGCAACTCTCCCCCACCTGAACTGTCCAACCTCCCCTCCACGTCATGTGACTCCCCAGGTGAAAACAGCAGAGACGGGGTACATGTCGCGGCGGCTGATGAAGGCGCTGGAGGATCTGTCAGTGGCGTACGATGGCACGGTGCGCAACGCCAGTGGCGGCATCGTGCAGATGCGGTACGGCGATGATGGCATGGACCCCGCCCACATGGAGGGGAGTGATGGAGGGGCGCTCAACCTTGATCGTACCTTCACCACATGCCAGGTGCGTGGCGGGTAGGAAGGTGGAGGGTAGCAGCGTGGAGGGTAAGGGAATGGCAGGTGAGGGAATGGGAGGAGCGCCAGTGGCGGCATCGTGCAGATGCGGTATGGCGACGATGGCATGGACCCCGCCCACATGGAGGGCAGCGATGGGGGGGCGCTCAACTTGGACCGCTCTTTTACCACGTGTCAGGTGCGCGCATAAGGGTGTGGCGTGATACTGTGCTGGGATTCAAGTGGCCGTGCTCCCTTGCCTATCCCCCCTCCCCTCTTCCACCCTGCCGTCCCCTCTCCCGTCCTACCCCGGCCCCTTCCACCACCAGGCCCTACGTCCCATGTGCTTTTGAGTCGACTCAAAAACCTTCCACCACCAGGCCCTATGTCCCATGCGGAGGGACCCCCCTTCCCTTCCCCGACGAGATGCGAGGGTGGAATGTAGCCTCCTGTATTCCCACTTACCTATCCCACCTCTTGCTCTTCCTCTCTTCCTCTCTTCCTCTCTTCCTCTCTTCCTCTCTTCCTCTCTTCCTCTCTTCCTCTCTTCCCCGCACTGCTTCTTCCCACACCAGGCCTTGCGTCCCATGCGCAGCGACCCCCCGCTCTTCCCCGACGAGATGCGCGCGCACATGCAGACAAGATTCGCCGCCCCGGAGTTTGCCGACCCGGAGTCAGAGGGCGGCTGCTCCACTCGGTTCCGAGACTCGGTACTTGGCTTTCTGGACAAGCAGCTGGGGGCGATCGAGGGGACAAGGCGGCGACTAGGGTTACCAGTTACCAAGGAGGAGACCGAGAGAGGGGTAGAGGATGCTATGGAGGTGGATGGGAAGGCTGGGAAAGAGGGTGTTGAGACAGAAGAAGGAAATGGGGAGGGGAAGGGGGACGGAAAAGTGGAGGGGGAAGGGAAAGGGGAGGGGCAAGAGGAGGCGGAAGGGGAAGGGGAGGGGAAGAAGGAGAGGGTGTTGGAGAGAGGGGTGGCGGAGAAGGTAGCTCGGAACTTGTGTGGGATAACGGCAAAGCAACTGCAGGTGAGGGAGCAAGGAGTCAGTGGTGTCTTAGGTATGATGATGACTGAGAAGGTGCTGGAGAGAGGGGTGGCTGAGAAGGTGCTGGAGAGAGGGGTGGCTGAGAAGGTGCTGGAGAGAGGGGTGGCTGAGAAGGTGCTGGAGAGAGGGGTGGCTGAGAAGGTGCTGGAGAGAGGGGTGGCTGAGAAGGTGCTGGAGAGAGGGGTGGCTGAGAAGGTGCTGGAGAGAGGGGTGGCTGAGAAGGTGCTGGAGAGAGGGGTGGCTGAGAAGGTGCTGGAGAGAGGGGTGGCTGAGAAGGTGCTGGAGAGAGGGGTGGCTGAGAAGGTGGCTCGGAACCTGTGTGGGGTGAAAGCCAAGCAACTGCAGGTGAGGAGATGTGTGGCATGGCATGGCGTGGTGTGGTGTGTAGCTGTGCTCTGTGATTCATCATCACCATGTGACTTGTTCCCCACTTCTCCCTCCCCCCGGTCCCTCTCCCCTTCCCCCTCTCCCTTCCGAAACAACACCGACAGCTATTCCTGGACACGTGCATTCGCCGCTACCAGTCCAAGCGCATGGAGCCGGGCACAGCAGTGGGGGCCATCGGGGCACAGTCCATAGGCGAGCCAGGCACACAGATGACTCTCAAGACCTTCCATTTCGCTGGCGTTGCTTCCATGAGTGAGTTTTGAGCAATCGTTTTTACGTAAGCCTGCAGTTGCGACACTGTCCTCTGCTCAGCCGCAACAGCCAGACACATATAAATTCGAAGATCATCCGTATGGCTGGAAGGAGTGGAGTGAACGAGTGTATGAGCTAGGAGGTGCGAGTGAGTGCATGAACTTGCGACTGGGTCCAAATATACAATCACGTGAGCAGGATGCAGTCCCCTTCTCACTATCGTTCTCCTACTCACGTCCTCTCTTCTCCCAATCCCATCCCATGAAACCTCTTCTTCCATTTGCTCTCTCCCCATGCTGGCTGTCGCTGTCACTGTCAGCGTCAGCAGTCGTCACTCTCAAGCCGGCTCTTGTGCTGCCTCAAGCCTCACCTCTATACCGTCTCTCCCCATCCACCCATCGTCCATCCAGACGTGACCTTGGGAGTGCGGCGCATCAAGGAGATTATCAACGCAGCTAAGAGCATCAGCACGCCCATCGTCACTGTCAAGCTGCCTCTGATTCCACTCTCAAGCTTCCACCTTCATACCCTCTCTTGCCTGCGTCCACCCTCTCTTGCCTGCGTCCACCCTCTCTTGCCTGCGTCCACCCTCTCTTGCCTGCGTCCACCCTCTCTCGCCTGCTTCCCATAAACCACAGATGTGACTCTGGGAGTGCCGCGAATCAAGGAGATTATCAACGCGGCCAAGAACATCAGCACACCCATCGTCACTGTCAAGCTGGAGACGGACAATGACGTGAAGGCGGCTCGCATTGTGAAGGGGCGCATTGAGAAGACCACGTTGGGGGAGGTGAGCAGAATAGTGAGATGCGCAGTGACTCGACTCAAAAGGCCCATTGTGACTGTCAAGCTTGAGACGGACAATGATGTGAAGGCGGCTCGCATTGTGAAGGGGCGGATTGAGAAGACAACGTTGGGGGAGGTGAGCAGAATAGTGAGATGCGATTCAACTTAAAAGGCCCATCGTGACTGTCGAGCTGGAGACTAGCAACGATGTCAAGGCCGCACGCATTGTCAAGGGGCGCATTGAGAAGACCACTCTGGGAGAGGTGTGTGGAATTGACTCTTCCCTCACAATAGTCACATCACAACTCACTCATTATTGTTGCTACTCATATGAATGACAATGTCAGGGTTTCCCCCGTTTTCAAGGGGTGCATCAAGAAGTCCACCCTAGGGGGGTCCTCATTATACTCACAACTGGAGAAGTACACCCCCCCATGCCAGGTGGTCAAGAGCATGAAAACGTTGCTCACTCCCAGCCAAGCCATGCTCTCGATCCGCCTCGACATGCACCGACTCAACAGCTCTTTCGCTTCTCTGCTCCCCATAACCCTCCCACATGTGCATCCTCACTCATCTCCCCCCAGGTGGTCAAGAGCATGAAGACTGTTCTCACTCCCAGCCAGGCAATGCTCTCAATCCGGCTGGGCATGCACCAAGTCAGCGCCCTCCAGCTCGACATCACAGCCTACACCGTCGCCGACGCCATCACAACCGCGTCGTGGGTGCGCATGAAGCTGAAGGCGCAGCACATCCGCATGGTGAGCGCGGCCAAGCTGCTCGTTTACTCATCTCACTCCTCTTACCCCCCCACGCCTTCCCGCCCTCTTTCCCTCACCATTCCCCCCACCTTCAGGTGGTTAAAAGTATGAAAACCGTCCTGACCCCCAGCCAAGCGATGCTCTCGATCCGTCTCGACATGCATCGAATCAGCGCTCTCCAGCTCGACATCACCGCCTACACGGTCGCAGACGCCATCACGACCGCGTCGCGCCTGCGCATGAAGCTGAAGGCGCAGCACATCCGCGTGGTGAGCGCGGACAAGCTGCTGGTCTACTCGCCCGAGCAGGACAGAAGGCAGCTGCTCTTCTCGCTGCACAGCCTAAGGAAGAAGCTGCCGCAAGTCATGGTCAAGGGCATCGCGAGCGTGGAGCGGGCTGTGATTAATGACCTTGGCGGCGGGAAATACAACCTGCTGGTGGAAGGGTGAGTGCTTGCTTGCGACTGCACACACATGCTCTTCTCGCTGCATAGCCTGCGGAAGAAGCTGCCGCAAGTCATGGTCAAGGGCATCGCCAGTGTTGAACGGGCGGTTATTAACGACCTTGGCGGGGGCAAGTACAACCTGCTGGTTGAAGGGTGAGATGGGGTTGGAGGGAGTAGGGGGGAGTGAGGGATGGGGATTGAGTGAGTGGGGGATTGGGGTGGGGGATGATAGTGAAGGGTGAATGGGTGAGGGAGTGAAGGTCAAGGCGCAGCACATGCACATGGGAGTAACAGGCATGGACGGGTGCAAGACGAAGAGCAATCACGTGATGGAGGTGGAGAGTGTGTTGGGGATAGAGGCTTCGAGGCACACTCCGATGCACATTTGCACCTCTTTCCCACACCATTTTCTTGCTTGCATTGCAGGACCAACTTCGGTGCAGTGCTGGGCATAACAGGCGTGGACGGGTGCAAGACAAAGAGCAATCACGTGATGGAGGTGGAATCGGTGTTGGGGATAGAGGCGGCGCGGTATGCCATCATGCACGAGATCAACTACACCATGGGTTCCCACGGCATGACCATCGACCCCCGCCACATGATGCTGCTCGCTGACGTCATGACCTACAAGGTGAGATTGGCGTTCGGCTCACACCACATCGTCTGTGATACAATCCCTTTGCACCCCATCCCCAGCTGAACCCCCCTCCCTTCTCTTCTTCCTTCCCTTCTCCCTTCCATTCTCCCTCCCCACCTCCCCCGCTTTTCCTCCCCTTTGTTCCCACTTCCCCTGTCCCCGTCTCTCCCCTGTTCCCCTCCCGGCCTGCAGGGCGAGGTGCCAAGATGAAGGGCAGGGCAGTGTGCTCCTCTTTTAGAGGAAGACCACGGACGACCTTCATGCTGATGCTCAAAGGACGACCTCAAGAGGAAGACCTTTTAGAGGAGCACCTCATGCTGACGTCCTTTGAGAAGACCACGGACCACCTCTTTGATGCTCATGTGCACACCTCTTCCCCCTCCCCCTCCTTACCCCTCCACTTCCCCCTCCCCTTCCCCTATCCGCTTCCCCATTTCATTCTCTGCTTCCTCCTTCCCCTCTCCCCTGCTCCCTTCTCCTGCCCCCTTTGCGCAGGGCGAGGTGTTGGGAATCACGCGGTTTGGCATAGCGAAGATGAAGGACAGTGTGCTCATGCTGGCGTCCTTTGAGAAGACCACGGACCACCTCTTTGACGCCGCCGTGCACGGGCGCAAGGACGAGATCGAGGGGGTTTCAGAGTGCATCATCATGGGCATCCCCATGCCCGTTGGCACAGGGCTGTTCAAACTCAAACAGAAGTGAGTATCTATTGGGGGTTGAGGTGGTAGGTATGGGAATGCAAGTTTCCTGTGCCTGTTGGCCATGCACGGGCGCAAGGACGAGATTGAGGGGGTTTCGGAGTGCATCATCATGGGCATCCCCATGCCCGTTGGCACAGGGCTGTTCAAACTCAAACAGAAGTGAGTATCTATTGGGGGTTGAGGTGGTAGGTATGGGAATGCAAGTTTCCTGTGCCTGTTGGCCATGCACGGGCGCAAGGACGAGATTGAGGGGGTTTCGGAGTGCATCATCATGGGCATCCCCATGCCCGTTGGCACAGGGCTGTTCAAACTCAAACAGAAGTGAGTATCTATCGGGGGTTGAGGTGGTAGGTATGGGAATGCAAGTTTCCTGTGCCTGTTGGCCATGCCCGGCCGCAAGGACGAGATTGAGGGGGTTTCGGAGTGCATCATCATGGGCATCCCCATGCCCGTTGGCACAGGGCTGTTCAAGCTTAAGCAGAAGTAAGTTGGCAAGGGGGTCCGAAACTCAAACAAAAGTGAGTGGTGGTGTTCGGTTGTGAGGGGTGCACGCGGGCAAGGACGAGATTGAGGGGGTTTTGGAGTGTCTTATCATGGGCATCCCCATGCCTGTGGGCACAGGGATGTTCAAGCTTAAGAAAAAGTTGGTATTTGAGTGGGGTTGTGAGGGGTTAAGGTGGTAGGTATGGTATTGTAGTATTCCCGAGGTTGTGAGGGGTGCATGGGCGGAAGGACTAGATTGATGGGATTTTGGAATGCATCATTCTGGGCTGTTCAAACTCAAGCAAAAGTGATTGCTGGTGTGAGGATGTAAGCGATCAGGAGGTGCAGCAATTTGCCTCGTGTTGATTGTCCTCCCCTTCTCCCTCTCCTCTCATTCTCCCTCTTGTCCCTCTCCTCGCCTCCCCATCCACTTTTTTCCCCTCACTCTGTCTTCCCCCCCTCCACCCCTCCCCACCCCTCTCCATCCCACCAGAGTCGACCACATCCCAGTCCTTCCCAAGCGGCCGCCACTACTTCTGGGCTAGTGTGCAAAGCAACCCCCCCCGGCTCATTTGAGTTGCAGGAGTCAAGTACTAAAGGACCCTGTTTGTCAGTGGCGGACAGAATGTTCCATTCGCATGAGGTTCCATTCGCAGCCTGTTTCATTACATGCATGATTCGAGTGCAATGCAGATTGTACAAAATGCATGTCAATCACATTCTGAGGAATTATTCACATGGGCCGGTTAGAAAGCTGGCAAGTGTTGACTCTTTCAGAATTTGGTCATCAAGAGTAGCGGCATGCCCTGCGGGCCTCATTAGAATACCGGTATGTGGGCTGAGCAGCGTTGGATGCATACTGTTGGATGCACAGCCGTTGGATGCATACTGTTGGATGCACAGCCGTTGGATGCCTAGCCTACGCACCACCTGTGCATTGTGATGGCGTCTGCACTATATGAACAGTAGGAGAGCTATACGAACAGCCTCATGCTTTAACCGAGCAGTGCACTCAGCATCTACTAAGCACCTCCACATGGCTTTCATACAAGGAAGAATTGAATTCAATACGGACAGATACACAAAGCCATGTTCTTCAGAACAGTTTCCATGTGCTATTGTAGTGTAATGATGTAATATACCGTACTGGGGAAGAATCCCACTTGTGGCGACTTCTGGGATCGGAATGGAAAGCTGATGGTGATAGGAAGTTAAAGAGGCAAGCGGCGAGCCTCATCTCCTCCTGCATTGGAGAGCGGAGCAATTGATTGGGTGAGTAAGTAGGTGGGATGGTAGAATGGTGGGTGGGTGGGTGGGTGGGTGGGTGGGTGGGTGCATAGGTGACTGAATAAGTTGGGTGGTTGCATGGACGCTATAAGTGGAAAGCAATGGCAACGACATTCAGTGAACTACAAGAGATGAGCGGAAACAGGAAGAAGAGAGAGACGAGGAAATTAAACAGGACAAGTAAATGGGCAAGACAAACTGCAAGGAATTTGGGGACGAGAAACTGAAAAAAGTGGGCAAGGAAGAAAGGGATACAGCGATAGAGGTGGAAAGAGAGAGAAAGAAAGAGCGAGCGAGCAAGACAGAGAGATGGGAGCACCTTGCTGACCTCTTTGGTCGCGAACGATCCATCTCCTCCCCATAGTCCATGCCCATGCCCATTCCCATGCCCAGCCCTGATCCTCCTGCTGATGGCCCCTCCACGAACATGGCCTCTGGCCCCCGCATCTCCATCTCAGCCTGGTTGGAGAGAGAGACAGAGAGAGGAAAAGGGTGTGCCGAGGTTAGATAATGGATAAGGAAATCCATTGCTGCTATGCGATGGCCCCTCCACGAACATGGCCTCTGGCCCCCGCATCTCCATCTCAGCCTGGTTGAAGGCAGGGTGAGAGGAAGGATAGACAGGGGTCGAAACATGGATAGTTAGAATTGACCAAGCGGTGCTATGGGAAGGCCCCTCCACGAACATGGCCTCTGGCCCTCGGATCTCCATCTCAGCCTGGTTGGAGAGAGAGACAGAGAGAAGAGAAAGGATGGGGTTAGAGAAATGGATGCGGGAATCAAGTGCTGCTATGTGATGGTCCCTCTACGAACATGGTCTCTGGCCCTCGGATCTCCATCTCAGCCTGGTTCGAGACAGAAAGAGAGGGGGAGGATAGACAGAAGGATGGAGAGGGGTGAGAGGAGAGGATAGGGGGATCAAGCCAAGTGGAGCTGTGTGATGTGATGTCCCTTCATGACCATGATGTCCCTTCATGACCATGATGTCCCTTCATGACCATGATGTCCCTTCATGACCATGATGTCCCTTCATGACCATGATGTCCCTTCATGACCATGATGTCCCTTCATGACCATGATGTCCCTTCATGACCATGATGTCCCTTCATGACCATGATTCAAGTACAGTACTGCTGAAGCTTCAAAGGCTTCTCATGCATCACCAATGCTCGTAAGTGGTGCCGCACACATTTAGAAAGCTCAATTACACGACGCACGCACACAATTTGAAAACTCAATCACACGGCGCACCGACTCACCCGGATGTTCTTCTTTGCCTCCTCCACCTCCCGCTTGGGCTCTCAGGTGTAGCTAAAGCACCTTCCTAATGAGCTCACATACAGCTAAACCTGTACAAGTGCTCCTGTCCAAGACCACACACCCCACCCGCACCCACTCACCCGGATGTTCTTCTTTGCCTCCTCCACTTGCTCCTCCACCTCCCGCTTGTGCTTGGCCCACTCCTCCCCCTTCTCATCCGCCCACTGGATCCGCTTCTCTATCGTCCCCAGCATCGCCTCTGACGTCGCCACCCTGCACACCGGGAGGGGGGGACAGGGAAGCCCAAGGGCGCACAGGAGAGGGCGGCAACGATGGGGGTGAGCTGATGCTTTGACTGACTCAACTACGACGCAATCTAGTAGCTCAATCAAACTGACGGACTGACCATTGGGAGAGAGTGGCGAGGATGGAGGAGAGCTGGCTGGGGCGGAGGTCCCTGCCGGCAGCAAACTGCACCTCCACACACCGACTCCGCTGGTCCAGCTTGCCCCGTAGAATGCCCTGCCATGCCATACGGTTACCACCACACCATGTGCACGAGTTACATGTTGGCAAACGGGAGGGATGTGCACATACGAGAAATCTTGCATGATCGTATGTTGTCGTGAGCACTGCTTACAAAAAAAAAAAAAAACGCACAGCTCTATAGAGTCTCACACCGCATACAAACTAAGACACTAGGTAATGGGATTCACATACAAGCAGCTCTATATAAGCACATACCGCATACATGCAGTCATTAATGAGCAAATCCTCAAGTTGTCGCACATTGCTGACGTCAAGTTGCTCCATGAGCGCACTGTACGGCAGAACCTGCTTATAGCGAGGATGGACGATGTAAAATGGAGGATTTGAAGACGTGAAGTGACAATGATTGCGAGGATGTAGGCGGTTGTAAGTCAGCTAAAAAGTCACAGACTCTATGGTAGCTGCTTCGAAGCGCGGGTCGCGGCAAGATGAAACAGAGGTGTGTGGTGAGGGGGAGGCATTTGGGGGAAGGGGGGATTGAGGTTGGTGGGGGGAGGAAGGGTGATAGGGGTACAGTCGCACACAGACCGATCACAAGCTCCAGTTCACTCACCTTGTAACCCTAGCAATGCAACCCACCTTGTGACTGTGGCGTTAGATTAGAACCCACCTTGGAGCCCTCGGCAAGGGTCATGACTGTGAGCTGCTTCAATTTTAACTTCTGCTGCGGTTGTAGCTCCGGCAACTGCGCCGCTTTCTCTGCACACCGCGGCAAGAACCGATCAGAAACCGGCACGCATGGACATTCCGGCATAGGGTAGGTGCAGAGCAGTACCATCCACATGTCGCGTGCTATTCAGTCGCGAAACGAACGGCGTAGAAAACGCTGTTGCTCATGCTCATCAGGCGGGGCAGAAGAGACGTACCTTTGTATTCAGGCCACGTGCCGTACGCGAATAGCCGCAGAACCGCCAGTGCGGACGCGTGATCCGTGCCCTCCAACTGCACGCGGAGAGTCAGGATAAAATCTAGGTCTATTTAGGATTCAAATCCTGATAGAGATCACGAAAAGATCGCGTGAAGCAGGATTGGAAGCGAGGCGATGAAATTCACCTCTTTAATCTGTGGAACGTCTAGGAGCTCCCCAAACGCGAATAAATTCGGATCTGACGTGGCTTTTGTCACGAGCTCCACTAGAGCTCTCCCTCGAGCGCTCTTAGCTAAGAGCAAGTACTGCTCTAAGCATTCCATCTGCCTCGCCTCCAGCTCCATGGCTCCGCGCCGACCGCGGAGCTCCCTTCCAATTTCAGCTGCTGTTTAAAACCAGGGTGCACATTCAACGCGGTTCGGCTTGAGATGTTGGGAAGGGGGTTTGGAGAAAAACAGTGATTGGCTCACGAGGGGCGACAAAAAAATGATTCCGCTAGAGCTTCGGGCATTTCGTAGGTGGCGGGAGGGGGTGAAATGGCGGGAGTGGGTGAAACCGAATGGCGGGAGGGATGAAACAGATTGGCGGGAGGGGGGGGAAACGAAATTGCGGGGGAGGGGGGAAACAAAATTGCGGGGGAGGGGGGAAACGAATTTCGACGGGGAGGGGGAAATGAAATTGCGGGGGCGTGGGGAAACGAAATTGCGGGGGAGGGGGGAAACGAATTTCGACTTGAAGGGGTTGAAAGCACACCTCGTAACCCACTCAGTCAAGGGATAACCTTTGATGCACATTCAGCTGAATGTGCACCCCGGTTTTAAAGCGACGGGCAACTTTTGGCAGTGTTGGGTTCAGAAGTTTTTTTTTTTGAACCAGGCTTGCCAGCGCGAAAGTGCTGGCTGGCGAAAACCAGGAGTTCGTGCGGACACTTTCCATCCGCAGTAACAGTTCGCCAGGGTTCTGGGTTTTGGGTGGCAAATGTGCACCGTCGCTTTAAGAAGCTCTTATCCTTGAATTCAAAATATTTCGCTGTAATTGAATAGACGGGTGGTAATAACAACCGCGCCTATCGCTAGAAACCGTTATTATAGAATAAAGACACTGGCCAAGAGGCCAGGAAGAAAATGACGTAACAACGAAGACTCTGAAGATTGATCCGAAATGTCGTGCCACCAAAAGGCATGATCATGGGGAAACACGAGTGTCACAAAATGAAGCCCTCAACAACGAGTATATGAGGCTTGTTGCTCTGCTGCGAAACTAATTGTTACAATGGTGTCCTCGTTACAAGGTAAATAATTTCCTCTTCTAGCCGTTCAATTTCATATCTTCTGAAAAACACCGAACTCCCTGCAAATGGACAAACCAACTCCAACGTTTCTATCCGTCCATTTCCAACACTAGTTTCCCTGATGTGGTAGATCCCTCGGCGAGGGAACATACGTGCACTTGATGCAGTCTCATTGGATCTAGTAGCATAGCTGCTCAGGCAGCCGGCAGATCATCACTGCTTTTACATCTCGGACCAGAGCATAGTGATTTTCGTATACGTCTGCAGCCATGTCGGCCTTCGCGAAGCTCAAGGCGATAGATTTCTACAGGTGCGATAATAAGTGGATTGCGGTCGACGGTATTAGTTAGCATTCGGGTGCTAATGTCGAGTCGCCTGTAGTGGATTCTCGATCTTTTCTCATGTCGTTATAATATATTATTTTACCTTCTATTCTTTTTGGCTGGTGCTCATTTTCGCAGGAAGATCCCTCGGGATCTCACCGAGGCTTCGTTCTCCGGTGCGGGCCTCTCTATCGTAGCCGCGACGACCATGATCTTCCTCTTTGTCGCGGTACGGCTTCCAAGCTACGTCGGTTCAGCTTAATCAAAAGAGATTGGACAACAGCTCAAGCTGGATCCTCGTTGTCCTTTGCGCTAATCTGTCCTCTTATCTCTGTCCATGTCGCATTCGGGTCTTTCACGCATTGCCGTTCACCTTCTCCGTCTTTCAGGAACTGAACAGCTTCCTGAAGGTCTCCACCACGACGCAAGTCATCGTCGATCAGAGCCAAAACGGCGAGCTGCTTCGGATAAACTTCAACTTCAGGTGAGGCTGGGTAGCGATGCTGGGCTGGTCAGCGGTCGCTGCATGACGCTACTACTGGGCTGGTCAGCGGTCTCTGGATGACGCTACTGGCTCTATGTCTTCTGCGATATCGACATTTGCAGGCGTTCACCCGTATCTGATTAGTCACCTCAATCTCCGTCTTGGTGTAAGTGGCCATTGCCATCCTTTGAACTGTTTTTCCTTTTGTCCCCGTGCAGTTTCCCAGCGCTGTCGTGTGAGTTCGCGTCAGTCGACGTAACCGACGTGCTCGGAACTGTAAGGCCTAAATCCACTCTGTATCCGTCCTCACTCCGTTTCGAATCTTCTCTGATTTTATGTTCAATCCGCCGTGAATTTGCTTGAATCCGGTCTCTTGCATGAGCGCCATCCTGCAATGTTCATCTAGCGGTGCTCATTCGGCGATGCACCATCACTGGCACACGCATACCGCTCCATTTTAACACCGCAATGCCGTTTTGGAGAGCATTGCACCCCTTTGAAACAATTTCCTTCGTCACGCCTGATCGCACCCTACCCCCGCATCCCAACAAGACAGTGCGCAAGTACCCCACCAACGCATCTCTTCATTTCCCCCTCTCCACCCCAACCCACCCCACTCCCCCCCTTCCCCCCACATCCTCCCCATTTCCTTACGCGCGGTATAACCTGAGCAAGACGGTGCGCAAGTACCCCATTGACCCGTCTCCTCATTCCCCCCTGCCAACCCCCGCCACCTCTCCCCCGCATCCGCCCGCATCCCCTTAGGCGCGGTACAATCTGAGCAAGACGGTGCGCAAGTACACCATCGACGCGGCAGGCAACTGGGTGGGGCCGGAGCACCACCCGGACCCGCTGCCCGTGCCGGAGAAGCATCTCTCATTCCCGCTCCCACTTGCCCCCCTCTCCCCCTCATCTCCCACATATCCCACCCGCAGGCACGCTACAATCTGAGCAAGACTGTCCGCAAGTACCCGATCGACGCGGCAGGCAACTGGGTGGGGCCGGAGCACCATCCCGACCCGCTGCCCGTGCCGGAGAAGCACGGAGAGGACAGCAACGAGACCACAGAGGAGGTGCATCAGAAGATGGCAGAGGACGGGCATGAGTATGTGGGCTCGCTCGTGCTCAACAAGGACAACTTCGAACACTTTGCGCATGAGTGAGTGGTGCTGTGCGGTTGGGCTGGCACCTTACGCACAAGTGAGTGGTGCTGTGCTGTTGGGATGGTTTGAGTCTGCTGTAAACCAGAAGATGGCGGAGGACGGGCATGAGTACGTGGGGTCGCTCGTGCTCAACAAGGACAACTTTGAACACTTTGCCCACGAATGAGTGGGAGTGTGGCTGTGTTCAACTCAAGAAACGCAGGAGATTTAGGCATCTCGGAATGTGTCCCACTCAGTGAATGCTGGACCCGCGCTTCATATGCAGAGACAAAGACGCGTTGATGTTTGGTTAAATGCTGCTGTGCTGCCTCTGCGGTTTCTATCCATAGCAATAGTGGTCGCTTCCCTTCCCTTGCGTCTTTTGCGCCCCTCCTGAGCAGGTATCAGATCCTCGTGGTCAACTTCTTTGCCCCTTGGTGTCCCTGGTGCCAGAGACTGGTGAGTGCAGTGCAGCACATGCATGCTTTTTCAGACGCCACCGTTAGGGGAAGCTACCTCTGAAATTCCAGATTTCCATATTATTTCTTGTTTGCCCTGGACGCATTACAGCTTCCCCTACTCCCGTTCCACCCTCTTCCTGTCCCGCCACTTTCCCCACCCTCCTCTCACCCTGTATCCCTCCTTCCACGTGAATCTCATCATCCACTCGTCTCCTCCTGCTTCGCTTGCAGGAGCCGGCATGGGAGAAGGCAGCGACTGTCCTCAATCGCAAGTAAGTCATTCGTACTATGCTTACTGTCATTCATACTGTACCGTACGTCCTGCAGCAACTCACTATGCTGCCTGCTTGAGTCGTGCATCTGTCCATGTGTAACTTATCTCTCTCTTTCTCTCCTCTCTCGTCTCACTCTCCTCGTTCTTCTCCCTCTTATCCCACTTCTCTCCCTCTTTCCTTCTCTCTCTCTTCACTCTCTTCTCTCTCGTCTCTCCCTCGCTTCTCTCTACTACCTCCCGTCTCTACACCAGGTACCATCCTGACTACGATGGCCGCATCGATGTGACTTTTGAGTCAACTCAACAGTCACCTTTTCTCTTCCCCGCTTCTCTCTTATCTCTCCTCTCCCTACACCAGGTACCATCCTGACTACGATGGCCGCATCCGCTTTGCCAAGATCGACTGCACCATCTACCAGGACGTGTGCCGAGAGTGAGTGCCCTTCACTCTTGAACAGATTCGTCACAAAAGACAGACCCGTGCAAGCCGTGTGTGTCCCCACATATTGTCATAGACCTTGATCGACTGCACCATCTACCAGGACGAGTGCCGAGAGTGAGTGCACTCGCCTTCCACTCGCTTCTTCCCTCGCCAACGCAACCCACGAATCACTCTTGTGCCTTCCACTGCAGCAGCAAACACATTCAGTTCTTCTCTTGTCCAGTCGGTCGACTCTCAACACTCTCATGCCTCCTGTCCTCTCCCCTCACCTTCCACTGCAGCAACCACATCCAAGGATTTCCTTCCATCCGCATCTTCCGCAAGGGCATGGACCTGCGGTGAGTGCAGGTCAAAGGGGCTCTTTGCTTGGTTGGCCTCCATGCTCTGTTGACCTCCATGCTAGGTTGACCTCCATGCTAGGTTGACCTCTAGGTTGACTTCCGTGTTAGGTTGACCTGCTCGCTAGGTTGGCCCGCCTATCATGTATGGCCACGTGCACAGCTTTCTAGGTTCTTGCAATCTCAATTATGGTTCCCTGTGAATGTTTTTTCCTGTGGCATGGCTTGTGACCACACTACGCAGCATGCATGGAGAGCATGGGGAGCATGACCATGAGTCATACTATGGCGAGCGAGATGCCGAGTCACTTGTTGCGGTACGATTTGCTTCCCCGCCATGTCTCCCTTTTCCATCTCGCTACTTTCAATGTAGCCTCCCGTTCTGGTATTTGTAAAACACAGATTTTGCGATTTCCACTGCGCGGCGTGTAGTGGGTTCCACTCCGCTGCACTGCACTGGTACTTGTGTGCTCTGTCACCGCAGACTTCTCTCTTCGCGCTATCGCACAAAGGGTAGCCACAGCACCTCATTCGCCATCAGTGCCCTACGTCCCCTCCGCTCGTTCTTCCCGTCTTTGCGCTCTCAGTTCGCGGAGTCGATGGTGCCATCAGCCACGGTGGGGAGCCACGGTGGAGCGCCCGCCCGGCCCACAGCAGCAGAGGACTGCCATCAGCACGTCAAGTGATACACGCTGATGAAGCTCTTCCAACAACCACTCTTTTTTCCCGTCTCCCTTGCCCTCAGTTCGCGGAGTCCCTGGTGCCATCAGCCACAGTGGGGCGACCCACAGCAGCGGAGGACAGCCACCAGCATGTGAAGCGCCGCGCGCCGATGAAGCTTGTCTAACAGCTATCCCTCCTCCCCCCTTCCCCTGCCCCCTCACTCAGTTTGCCGAGTCTCTCGTCCCATCAGCCACAGTGGGGCGACCCACAGCAGCGGAGGACAGCCACCAGCATGTCAAGCGCCGCGCCCCTGCCTCTGGCGGGTGCAACATCGAAGGCTTCGTGCTCGTCAAGAAGGTGAGCTGATGTCTAAAAATGAAGCACAAGTCACCGACTCAATGGAATTCCACTCACTCCACTGCCTCTCCTTCGGCTGCCAGCTCATTCCTCCTCTCCTCCCCACTTTCTCCCCGCCCTCGCCCCTTCCACTCTCCACCCTCTCCATATCTCACCTCCCCTTCCCTCTCCGCCTTCCTCCCTTCACCTCTACACACACAGGTGCCGGGCAATCTGATGATAACAGCGCACTCCGCGGCACATTCGGTCGATGCCGCCATGATGAACATGACGCACTCCATCCACCGCTTCTCCTTTGGTCGCCTTCTCACCTCCATCCTCTCACCACTCGCTCCCCACCCTCTCCGCTCCATTTCCCCACCCATTTCCTGCCTTCTTTTAATCCTTTGCTTATGCCCTCCCCGCCCTATCCCTGCCGCCCTGCCCACACTACTACCCCTGTCAGGTGCCAGGCAATCTGATGATAACGGCGCATTCCACGGCGCATTCGTTTGACGCGGCAACGATGAACATGACACACTCCATCCACCGCTTCTCCTTTGGTCGCCAGCTCACCCGTCGCAAGCAGGAACTGGTTGCCCGCCTCCGGCCCTATGTGCCTGCCCCTGTGGGGCGACTGGAGGGACATTCCTTTCACTCCAACCACGACAACGTGACTGTAAGTGGGGTGGGAGTGGGCGTACAATGGTGTCAGTGTGTCACTGAGAGCTGAGAGGGGGTCGCCAGCTCACCCGCCGCAAGCAGGAGCGTGTGGCACGCCGTAAATGGGGTTGTATGCTGATGTCCGTATGTCGCTGTGGAATCAAGCTGACTCAAGTTCATTTCTTCACACTTACCCGCACCCATGTGAACCCTGTTTTTTTACCCACCCACGGTTACCTCTTCCCCCACCCACCAGCACGAGCACTTCATGCAGATAGTGTTGACGGAGGTGCATCCCTTGGGAGTATCCCGCAAGGACAGCTCGCTGCACTCATACGACTACACTGCGCACAGCCACACACTGCAGGCGCCCTCCGTGCCCGTCTCGCGCTTCCACTACGAGCTCTCGCCCATGCAGGTCAGTAATGTGCTTTTTTTATTTGTGTTCTACATTTGACGGCAAGTTTCTGTTTTTCTCCAGACATGCATTTACACAGGCAGGTCAGTGTTGAAGTAACCTAAACCAGCTGTGCTTTCTGACCATTGCTAGCCGTGCCTCTCCCCCCTTCCCTCCCAGGTTCTCATTGTGGAGACAAGGCGCCCCTTCTTCCACTTCATCACAAACCTCTGTGCTATCATTGGCGGTGTCTTCACGGTGCGTATCCTCTATTATATGTGCACTCCTACCTATCACAGTCACTCGTACGGTTGGTGTTGCATTTGTTTGGCTTGAATTACCGTACATTCCTGACCTACTCTTTTCTGTGGTTGCAGGTTGCCGGAATAATCGATGGGATGTTCCACAACGCACTTAGTATGCTAAAGAAGGTGGAGCTTGGAAAGCAGTTTTAGATAACCGTGGTCAACTAATTTAGGTAACTGATTTTTGCTATCCTCTAGCAATATGTGCATACGCTGATCACTTGGCTAGACAATTGTAGCGGGATGTATCACAGGAGAGAGGGCGACGTGGCAGTTATCTCGTCCTCGAGGATGTCAAGCGGTATCTCGGCCATCGATGTTTCCCCTCCCATCTTCCTTCGCAAGTGTCGTTTCGCCCCGCGAGTTTTCGTTCCGCCGTCCCAGTTTTGCCCCAGCCATTCCCCCTTTCCGCTACCCCCTCCGCGTCCCACCAATCCAGCCCGGGGGATTTCCTTTGCCGTGGCACATCTTACCGCTGTATACCATTCTAAAACACGGCAAAACCGTGTGCGATCTCTCCAGAAGTACAGACTTCGGTGTTGCCCTCGGATGTACCATCCCCATGGAACCGCAACCCTAATATTTAGTATCCTCAAGCCTTTTCCTCCACACGGCTTTTTTTTTCCACCTTGATGTCGAGTTTCTCTGCCTCGTAGTGACCGTTCAGTCCCTCCCCATCGTCCCCTTCCAGGCGTGATCGTCGGAATCGTTCCTGATTTTATCGCAGACGCAACTCTAACAACCCTTGTTGTTTAGTTAGTCGTCGCGATATGGCCGCCTTAGGGATGTCAGATGCCGTCAGGACGCCTGTCGCGTCGCCTGCCGCGTCGCTCCGTTCCGAGTCGCGTGTATCAGCTGGCCGTGTAGGGTTCTCTCAGGGGTCGCTGCTCCAGGGTCAGAGGCTTGCGATCTCGCAGCGGAGCTGCGAGGGTCGCGAGCGTGTCGCGAGAGGTGTCGCACGCGCTGCGATGAGGGACATTCCGAAGCAGTTTCAGGAGAGGCACTTGAAGGAAGGATGTAGGTGCTTCTGTGCTAGGTCAATACAAAACTGGACGTTCTTGTAACGGGGACGATTGCAACTTCACATCAGAAAATAGATCCGTATTTTCAAGGAGAATCCGGCTGGATGCGAAAGAGGAAGTGACCTACGGGCGGGTTGAGGAACCTATGGTGCTAGAGCAGCTGGTTCTGTGTACCATTCACCTTCACGAGCTACTAGTATGTAGTGTTCGACTCTCCTCCGGGAGAATCTTCGAAAAGGGGGGTGTTACACGGCTGATTCTGATGCCACGTTGCGCCAGAACAGCTCGTGGCTTCAGGATAGCTCGTCGCAGCGATCGTTAGATCATTTTAGAAGTGTCTGTGGACTTTATCGTGCGGCAGCTTACAAACGGATTCCCCTTACTTCGTTCCCCACTTCAAACTTTAAACTCACGTCGGCGCACTCCGGTGTGTCTTGTCTTTCTCCGAAACTCTGCTTCAACGGCGGTGGTCTTGAACCGCCTCAGAAGTTGACTCATGAGTTGCATCTGTCCATCGTCCCATTCTATTCGTTTGTTCTAATCTTGCTTCGCTCTTCACTCCTCTCTTTACTCCGCTTTCTTCTCCTCTCTTCGCTCCGCTCCTTGCTTCTTGCGCGAGCGGCAGTGATGGAGAACTTCCGCAACGTGCCGGCGTCGCTGTACGGGCTGAACTCGACGCAGATGAGCATGCTCATGACGGAGGACAGCCCTGTATCGCGGATATCGCAATCCGTTACCGAGGTATGTGTGTGTGTGAGTGAGTGAGTATGTATGCTTGGTCACATCGCCCCCCCGCCCCCTCCAGTCTCTTTCGCCCCTCTCATTCTCTCCCCACCTTCCCCCCCTTTTCCCCATCCCTTTCCGCCCATCCTCCGCCAGGCGAGCATCTCGTCCGCGGCGCACTACCGCAACGGCACGGGCATGTGGTCGATGCCGGGCCTAGAGAACTCCGCGGCGCGGCTGAGCATGAGCGTCAGCATGTACCGCGGGCTGGGCGGCGCCGGCCGCCCCAAGACCGCGCCGCCCGACCTGCCGTCGCTGCTGCTGGACGCGCGCATCTGCTACCTGGGCATGCCCGTGAGTAGATGGGTGGACGGGTATGGTGGACGGGTTGGTGGATGGATGTGTGGATGGATGGTTGGACGGGTGGGCGGGTGGGTGGGTGGGCGGGTGGGTGGATGGGTGGGTGGGTGGATGGGTGGTTGGATGGATGGATGGATGGATGGACCACGACCAACCCATCTAAACCCATCCACGTGCCGTCTTTGCACCACCCCATCAACATCCTCCATTTGTTCCTCCAACGTGCGGTGTTTGCGGGCCCTTCTTCCCCCCCTCCAGGTTGTTCCGGCCTTCACAGAGCTTATAGTGGCGGAGCCTATGTCTGGACTGTGACAACCCCTCCAAGTCCATCCACACTCCTTCAACATCCTCCATACCTTTCTCCACCCTTCTCCACCCTTCTCCACCCCCTTTGCAGATCGTCCCTGCAGTGACGGAGCTGATAGTGGCGGAGCTGCTGTGGCTGGACTACGACAACCCATCCAAACCCATCTACTTCTACATCAACTCCTCCGGCACGCAGAACGACAAGCGCGAGAGCGTGGGGTTTGAGACTGAGGCATACGCCATCGCCGATACCATGAATGTGAGTGCAGGGTGGGGGGGGGGCCATCTTTTGTAAGCGTGTAACCGTGGGGCTCTTGAGTTGACTTCCAAGTGTCAAGTCAATGACAAGCGCGAGAGCATGGGGTTTGAGACTGAGGCATATGCCATCGCCGATACCATGAACGTGAGTTTGAAACTAAATGGCTTTCGTGCGAGTGTCAAGTGGAGGGCATCTTTTGTGAATGACTTGAGTTCCAAGAGCCAATGGCAAGTGCGAGCGAGAGCGTGGGTTCCGATGGTAGCAGGCGATGTCCATCCAAACCGTACACGGTTCCAAGCGCCAATGGCAAGCGCCAATGGCAAGCGCCAATGGCAAGCGCCAGGGCGTGGGTTCCAATGGTTCCAGGTTAAGTCCATCCAAACCGTACACGGTCAACTGCAGGCAGGCGTTTTAGGCAGGAGCTGATAGGGGCTGCCTCGTTTCTCCGTGTCTGCCGTATCCGTTCTTACTCCCTTGACAAGACCCTTCTCGGTATCCCTCCCCTCCCACCCAACTGTCAAATGACAGTACGTGAAGTCCAAGGTCACACGGACGGTCAACTGCAGGCAAGCATTCGGGCAGGCGGGAGCCTCATAGGGACTGAACTGCCTCGTTTCTTTTCTGTTTCCGTCCCCTTGCCCCACCCCCCTGTCCCATCAACAGTACGTCAAGTCCCAAGGTCTACACGGTGAACTGCGGGCAGGCATTTGGGCAGGCAGGAGCCACATAGGAACTGCCTCGGTTCTCTTCTCTCTTGTTTCCGTCCCCTTCCCCCACTCCCCTGTCCCAACAACAGTACGTAAAGTCCAAGGTCTACACGGTGAACTGCAGGCAGGCGTTTGGGCAGGCGGGAGCCTCATAGGGACTGCCTCGGTTCTCCCCTGTTTCCCTCCCCGTCCCCCATGTGTCCCATCAACAGTACGTCAAGTCCAAGGTCTACACGGTCAACTGCGGGCAGGCGTTCGGACAGGCCGCCATGCTGCTGGCAATTGGAGACAAGGGCCACAGGGCCGTGCAACCCAACGCCGTCAGTGAGTGTACTTTCTCCTCGCTTCCTTGAGCTAGGCGTGTTCTATTTTCGGTGTTTTGCTGCGTGACCCATCGGCCATGCATGCTGCTGGCCATAGGGGACAAGGGGCACAGGGCCGTGCAACCCAACGCCGTCAGTGAGTGCCGCCCAATTGCGTCAGAGTGCCTGCCGATGCAGAGTGCATTTTGCTTCCTTTCTCCTTCTCCCAACTTTGCCTGGGAGCACTGAATGCCTGCTTCCTTTTTACTGCTATGAGCGTGCAATGCACAGCGTAATTTTATGTTGCTTTGGGTGTGTGTGCGGTGCGTGGGTGCATGTGTGTCCATGTGTGTGTGTGTCCCGTGCGTGTGCATGTGTGTGCGGTGCGTGGGTGCATGTGTGTGTGCAACCCCATGACTCCCAACAGCCAAGCTCTATGCGCCCAGAGCCAGCCAATCAAGCGGAGCCGCCATCGACATGTGGATCAAGGTGAGGTGTTGAGTTTTGCAAGTCGTGAGCTAGCTTTCACTGATGACTTCCCGTACGGCTGCCTCCCCCTCTCGGATGAAGGTTGGTTTTTTCAGTTTGATCAATCGTAAAAGCCTTCTTCTCTTACTTCCCCTGAACGGCCCCCTGCCGTCCTCCCATCCAGGCCAGGGAGCTTGACGCCAACATGGATTACCACATCGAGTGCTTAGTGCAATGCATGGGCAGCTCACCTCTCGCTGCTGCTTCCCCCTCCCTCGTCCCCACCACTACAACACTCTCCTCCCATGCAGGCGAAAGAACTTGACGCCAACACGGACTATTACATAGAGCTGCTGGCACGCGGCACGGGCAAGTCACGGGACGAGCTGTACCGAGACAACATGCACCCCAAGTACCTGCGTGGGCAGGAGGGGCCTCAGTACGGCCAGACGATTTACCGTGCCATTTCCCCCCTCCCTCATCCCCACCAGGCCAAGCAGCTTGACTTGACGCCAACACGGATTATTACATCGAGCTGCTGGCTCGGGGCACGGGCAAGTCACCTCTCACTCCCTCCTCCCTCGCTCCTTCCTCCCATGCAGGCAAAAGAACTTGACGCCAACACGGACTATTACATTGAGCTGCTGGCGCGCGGCACGGGCAAGTCACGGGACGAGCTGTACCGAGACAACATGCACCCCAAGTACCTGCGCTTGCAGAGGACTCACTATTACTTCCCCCCTGTGCCTTCTACCCATGCAGGCGAAAGAACTTGATGCCAACACGGACTACTATATTGAGCTGCTGGCGCGCGGCACGGGCAAGTCACGGGACGAGCTGTACCGCGACATCATGCGCCCCAAGTACCTGCGCGGGCAGGAGGCCATCGACTATGGCGTGTGCGATAAGATCATTGAGTCGCGCGGCGTGCAGATGGAGAAGAAGGTGAGTGCAGTGCGGTTTGGTGTGGTGCAGTAGAGTGCAGTGCGGTGTGGTATGGTGCAGTGCGGTGCAGTGCAGTACAGTGTAATGCGGTGCATTCAAAGCCCAAGGTGGGGTTGAGGCGAGCACGTGACAACAGGAGGCCATAGACTATGGCGTGTGTGATAAGATCATCGAGTCGCGCGGCGTGCAGATGGAGAAGAAGGTGAGTGCAGTGCGGTTTGGTGTGGTGCAGTAGAGTGCAGTAGAGTGCAGTGCGGTGCAGTGCTGTCAAAGCCCAAGGTGTGGTTGGGGTGTGCACGTGACAGCAGGAGGCCATAGACTATGGCGTGTGCGGCAAGATCATCGAGTCGCATGGCTTGCAGATGGAGAAGAAGGTGAGTCGACTCAAGAGTGCCCTTTACCCTCAGAATTGTGACGAACTGAAGTGGCTATGCAGGCAAGGCCGGACCCTGAATACGACGAGTTGATGATGCAAGCCAAGGCCATGTGGTCGACGGCTTCCGTCAGTCTTCACCTTTCATTAACCCCTCTCTCCCCCCGCTTCACCCGCCTCCCCTCTGCCCATCAGAACTACGACGAGATGATGATGCAAGCCAAAGCCATGCGCACGAGGGGTGGCCGTCCTGGGGCTCCCCAGACTGCTGCCCCTGCTGGCGGTGGGGGCGCTCCTCGCTAGACTTGAAAAGATGGGGCTTTTGAAGGGAGGCGGTGACTGGAAGGGAGATGGTGATGGTAGAAGATGTATATGATTGGAGAGTGGTGAAGATTGGTGCTGACTGGGGCTTCCATTTGTGTTTGAATGTACTTCGGGTGCACTTGACTGCAGATTGTATGAAAGATGTATCATTTGTGCAACTGCATTAGGGTTTTTTAGGATGCTTGTCTGTAAGCATTACACATTTTTAGTAGGCAGTTGTGTGAGGTGTTATACGTCATTTAGCTGAAAATAATGCTATTTGTTACGAGTGCAATTTGAGTGAACGAACGAGAATTGCACTATCGAAGCAAGAGTACAATGAGCGAAGGCATGAGCGAAGAATATATAGCGAAACTACAGTGGTAACGGTAATGGACTGTGGTTGTCGCGTGACGGGCCTGGGACTGAGGTTGGGAAAAGTGTCGAAGCAGAGGCCCGGAGCGCGGGTTACCCGCCGAGCCGTGAGGTCGGGGTGCGACGTGCGAAGGTGGCGGGAGGGTTGTCGATGCGAGAGTTGCGAGTGGTAACGGTGCTGACTGTGGTGCTACGGTGATGTACGCGCTGAGCGGGGACGCGAAGTAAGGAAAAGGAATTTTCCTTACACTACCCCCCCCCCTAAGGAGGTCCTCCTTACGAAAGTGCGTGTACATCCCTGAAATTTCGGCTGCGCAGATACTCGGTGAGGACGGGGTGGTTTTCGATTCTGTCCAGGGGAAACCCAATTGTCTTCGGTGGGTGTACGGTCCTTCCAGCGGAGCAAGAACTCGATCCTTCGGGCTCCTCGAGGGTCCCGAACTCTGTGACTCAGGATTTTCTCGGGGGTGATGATTGGTTCAGTTGGTGGTCTTGTCATGCTGGCTGGGCGATTGCGTGGCAGTTGGCTCGTGGACGGGACGTAAGGGCGAAGCAGGCTGACGTGGAATGAGGGGCTGACGTACCAGTCAGCAGGGAGGAGGAGGTGGGCGGTGACGGGTGTAATCATGTGGCTTATGCGAAATGGCCCGCAGTATCGGGGGCGGAGTTTCGGGGTGATGGGCAGTCGGAGGTTCTGAGTGTCAAGTAAAACTAAGTCGTCGGGCTGGTAAGTGACAGGTCTGCGGTGGCGGTCGGCGTTGCGTTTAACGATGATGTTCGATTTTTTTATTGCGTCTGCTGGCCGGGTCCGTGCTGCTTGTAATATTTCGGCGAACTGTTGTGCTCGTGGTACTGGGTTATCGGGATTCGGGGTCATGGGTACTGTCGGGTCTTGTCCGTAGTTTAGGTAAAATGGTGACTGTTGGGTCGTGGCGGATGGCGAGTTGTTGTACGCGAATTCGATTAGTGGCAGTTGCTGTTCCCACGTGGTCGGGTCGTCACACGTGGCCCTAATGAGCTGTTCCATGGTCTGATTTGTCCGTTCTGTCTGTCCGTCGGTTTCGGGGTGGTATGATGAACTGAACTGCAGTCGCGTGCCGAACTGCTGCCACAGGTTCCGCCAGAAATTGCTGGTGAATTTCGTGTCGCGGTCGCTGATGATCGCGGCTGGTATCCCGTGCAGTCGAACGACGGTGGAGATGAAGAGGCCTGCTGTTTCTTCGGCTGTGATTGATTTTTTGCAGGCTGCGAAATGTGCCATTTTCGTCAGTCGATCGACGACGACAAGGATCGCGTCGTTCCCACTCGCCCCGGCCGGTAACCCCGTGACGAAGTCCATCGTCACCTGCTGCCAAGCACGCTCTGGGGGTGGTATCGGCTGCAACTGTCCCGCCGGTCGCTGTCGTGATGATTTCATGAGCTGACAAGTGGGACACGATGCCACGTGTCGTTGTACGTCGGTCAACATTTCGGGCCAGTAATAATACCGCTGCAGCTGCTGCCGTGTTTTTTCTACTCCGAAATGCCCCGACGTAACTCCGTCGTGTGCCTCCTGTAACAGTAATTCCCGTAGCAGTGTATACCCAGGCACCCAAATGCGGTCAGTCCCGGCTTTTACGTAATAGACTCCCTTTGCTGCTGCGAACTGCTGCGAATTTCCTCCTGTGAAGAATGGATCCGTTTGGTACCCGTGGGTGAATAGGCCTGTCAGTAGCGGGCTTGTCTGGGCGAGTAGTATTGCGTGGATCTGGGCAGTGGGGCGGGTCAGTGCGTCGGCGATGTTCGAGGCTCCCTTTTTGTAAGTGACCGTGTAGTGAAAGTTGGACTCGAGGATATCGAGCCAGCGAATCTGTCGTGGGTTGAGGTGTGGCTGTGCGCGAAGGTACTGTAGTGATTTATGGTCTGTCCGTACTGTCACGTCCGCGCTAGTCAAGTAACAGCGCCATACTTTGAACGCGTGCACGATCGCAAGCATTTCGCGGTCGTGTATCGGGTAATTTTTCTCGGGCGGATGCAGTTTTCGTGACTCGTATGCGATAGGCTGTAGGCCATTGCCGAAATCCTGTAGCAGTACAGCTCCGATGGCGATATCGCTTGCGTCGGTAACTACTTCGAATGGGCGGTGTGGGTCGGCGGTGCGCAGGACGGGCGGGGAACAGAGAACATTTTTCAGGGCAGAGAAGGCAGCATGCTCTTTCTCCCCCCACGTAAAAGCGACCCCCTTCCGCAGTAAGTCCGTCAGTGGGGCAGTTAACCGTGCCATATCGGGGACGAACCAACGCACATAATTAACAAACCCTAAAAAGCTCTGCAACTCCGTGATGTTCGTCAGGGGATGCCACGCTTTTACCGTATCCAGCTTCTTGGGGTCGATTTCAACTCCAACCTCCGAAATAACGTGCCCCAAAAATTCTAACCTATCCTGGAAGAACTCGCACTTGGAACCCTTGGTCAGTAATCTGTGCTCGTCTAAAACCTTAAATACTGCTTCCAGATCTGCTAAGTGCTGCTGCTTATCCCTACTGTAAACTAGGATGTCGTCGAGGTACACGATCACACATTTATCTAAGAGCGGCCGAAATGCCTCGTTCATGGTCATCTGAAAAGTCGCCGGTGCGTTGGTCAGCCCGAATGGCATCACCGTGTACTCGAACGACCCGTACCTAGTCCTGAAAGCTGTTTCGACCCTAATCTGATGGTAACCTCCCCGTAAATATATTTTCGAAAAAACCCGTGCTGTTCGCAGTTGGTCGATCAGTTCGTCGGCGCGGGGAATGGGGTACCGCGACTTGACTGTTACCCTGTTCAGTGCTCTGTAGTCGATACACATGCGAAAACCCCCGTCTTTTTTCGGTGTGAATAGTATCGGTGCGGCGAACGGTGACGAGCTCGGTCGGATGAATTTTTTCTCTAACAGGTAATCTAACTGTTTCCTTAGTTCGTCGAGCTCGGGTTGTGTCAGTCTGAACTGGCGCTGTACGGTTGGCTGTGCCCCTGGTTCTAATTCGATTCGGTGGTCATGTGCTCGCTGAGGTGGCAGTCCTTCCGGCAAGTCGTCGGGGAAAATCCCGGGGTATCGTTTCAACAGTTCCTGTAGTTCCGGCGGTACTGCTGCCAGCAGTTTCTTGAAATCACTCGGCTGCTCTGCTCCCTCTACTACTGCGATGTCTACTGCGTACACGTCAGCTCCAGCAGCGACAGCCCGTTTCATTGTGACGGCGTTGACGTGTACCGTTGAAGACTCGGGCGACTGCCAGCGAGGTAGCTCGACCCAGTTACCACTACTTCGCACGGTGCAGCTACCCGTTGTCCAGTCAATTCGCGGGTTATACCGTCGCAGCCAATCACGTCCCAGTAAAATATCGTGCCCATCCAGTGTCGTTGCGTGCATTTCCTGTGTAAACCCGAAATTCCCCCCGCAGCGGACTTTGACTCTCTCTACCTTTTCCCGTATGGCCAGTGGCGTGCCGTCGACTAAGCGTGCGTCTATCTCCGGTAAGCAATGGCTAAGTGTCAGTTGTAGTTTTCGTGCGGTTGCGGTATTAACTAAACTGTGGCTTGCTCCTCCGTCGATAAAAATCTTCACTGCTGCTCCCTGTATTTTCCCGTGGATCAGTACTGGGCAATCCGTCGCTGTACCCTCCTTATTCGTCCGAGTCCGATCGATAGCATGAATCGGTACTGTGACTCGGTGAGGGTCGGTGGGGTTGGGCGAGCAGGCAGTCTCGTCAGTAGTTGGCCCGATTCCTACTGACTGCTGGCGTTTCCCTGCCTTGGAGACTCCCTCCCCTGCTCTGCTCCGCGGCGCCTTGGCTCCTCTGGGCATTCGCTCTTGCGATGGCCCGGCCTATTGCAAGCAAATCAGCGCCCCTTAAACGGCGCGGCAGCTGCATTCGCCGCAACAGCGTATACAGTGGCGTGCTTGATCGGTCCCCGAGGACGATGTCCATAGTAGGACCCCGGTCTCGGACGGCGTAAAATGTCGATTTTCTCGGCGAGCGCGAGAATCTCGTTGAAGTTCGAGAGCCCGCGTAGCATGATTTCGTGCGAGATGTCCGGCTTTAGCCCTCCGACGTAACGGTCCACCCGCTCCGCTTCGTGCATGTAGCCGACTTGCTCGAATAATGCGAGAAAACCACTCGTATAGTCTTGAACCGATCCGAGCTGCCGCCAAGTGCGCAATCTCTAACGTGCCGAAATAGAAGCCGCGATCGGCTCGAAGCGCGCCCGAAGCCCTGCGCACCACGCATCCCACGTGCTGTATTGGGCGGTCTCGCAGAATGAACTCTAGGTGACAGCTGGACCCGTGGGCCCTTCCTCTTGCGATGGTGGCTCGTAGGCGCGTGGCGACGTTACGATGACTCGCCACCAGTCCATGGCGGGGCCCCTTAGCAGCGAAACGTTATACCGAATCTTCGCTGCGTCTGACTCGACGTAATTCGCATCGAAGAAGACGTTCATCGTGAAGATCCACGATTGAACCGTCGGACCTCCACGCTAGCTCGGGTCGAAGCAGGGCGGGCGTTGCGGCTTGAGTGGCATTGGTGCCATAATGGTCTGTTCGCCACTTGTCGCCGCGAACTCCACGTGCCGACGGGCTTCGCGAGGCTCCCGCGGGCTTGGTGCGACCCTGTTTCCTCCCATGCCAGGCATCGGCTGGGTGGCGCCATCGCTGGCTGCGCCTGAGCGCTGTCCCACGCTGTTGTTTTGTGTTGGTGTGCCGGACGAGATAACGATCGGCTCGTCCGATTGTGCAGATGCATTTGTCGGTGCGTGTGGTGGCGCTGGAGTGTTCATCGTTGATTGCTGACGCGCGGAGTCACGTTCCGCCGTGAGCGTCGCAATTTCGAGCGCCGAATCTTCAAGTTGGCGCACCAGACGGTCGAGCTGCTCCTGCGTCAATGTGGCGAGCGTGAATTCGGCCATGGCGGGGGTGTTGGGCGAGCTCAGCGAGAGCCTCGGTCGTGGCCGTGCGTGCTTACGAGAGAGCACTACGAGCGGCGGTGCTGTGTCGCTGAGAGACGTCTACCCCCCCAAAAATTGAGATAGTGGGAAGCGAAGGTGTGGGTGCGGTCCGAGAAGAGATCGTAGGCTCTGATTACCAAGTGTTACGAGTGCAATTTGAGTGAACGAACGAGAATTGCACTATCGAAGCAAGAGTACAATGAGCGAAGGCATGAGCGAAGAATATATAGCGAAACTACAGTGGTAACGGTAATGGACTGTGGTTGTCGCGTGAACGGGCCTGGGACTGAGGTTGGGAAAAGTGTCGAAGTGGAGGCCCGGAGCGCGGGTTACCCGCCGAGCCGTGAGGTCGGGGTGCGATGTGCGAAGGTGGCGGGAGGATTGTCGATGCGAGAGTTGCGAGTGGTGACGGTGCTGACTGTGGTGCTACAGTGATGTACGTGCTGAGCGGGGACGCGAAGTAAGGAAAAGGAATTTTCCTTACACTATTCCTATACCGCGTGACGCATACACATCACCACCCCAAACTGTCTTCCTCCCTCAAGTCTGCATGCATGACAGCACATGTGCCTTCAAATTGTGCTTTCAACAGCCTGCTGTGAGTACAGCTTCAGATTGACTAAAAGTAGAGTAACAACACGGGTGCCTGCTTGGAAGCAAATCCTTGTAAATCTTCTTCCATCTATTTTGTCGGCGCACAAAAACTGCCAAGCTCTTCCTAGTACAGCTTCTTCAGTGTTTGCACGCGTGCCTTCTTGGCTGCATGCTTCTGTGCCTTGGTATCTGTCTTCTCTCGTATCGCAAGTGCCTTATCCAGCAGCTTCTGTTTCCGCCTAGTCTTGGCGCGTCGCTCCGGTGCCCCCTTCTTCCTGCCAGGTGGCGTGTCGGTATTGGGTGGAATTCAGACAGTGAGCTGCGAATGAAATTGCATATGGCTGGGTATAAAAGCGATAAACCATTAACGCACCAAATCTAACATGTCAGTGTGGGGAGATGGTTGATGTATGTCAGTGTGAGAAGGTGAGTTGAGGAGCATGAGGTTGATAAGAACAGAAGGGGCATGCAACTGAACAGAATCCGCACTGCTTGCAAGAGAGAGTGTGGCCTTTGCAGAGAGAGTGGCCTTTTGCAGTCTGAGAAAACCCAGACCGGGGTACATGCATGGGGACGGCTCAAAAGTCACCCACCACACCATTGCATGTAGTACAGCGGACCACACATGCGGGCAGAGCAGCAGCGGTGCTCAGAGAAGTCTCAGACTGACTGGGGTATGCGCATGGGGGCGGGCCGGGCGGCTCACCTTATGGCTGGTAGAGCGGGTGTGCTGCGAGCGCTCTCAGCCGAGGCCTTGATCACCGTGAACCCCATCGTCTCACTCGTGTCTGGAAAAGGGGGGGAGGGGGGGGGGAGAGGAGAGGAGCGGTGGGGGGGTAGAAAAAGGGGGGCCATGGGGGGGTAACTTGTGCGCATGAGGGCGTTCTCAGCCGACGCCTTGATTACTGTGAACCCCATCGCCTCACTCGTGTCTGGAAAGCGGGGGATGGGGTATGGAGAGGAAGGGGGTGTGGGAGAAGAGGAGACGCCTGAGGGCGTTCCCAGCCGACGCCTTGACCACCGTGAACCCCATCGCTTCACTCGTGTCTGATGGGGGGGGGAGGAGTGGGGGAGGGGAGGAGAGGGGGCAGGGGAGGAGAAGGGGCAGGGGAGGAGTGGGGGAGGGGAGGAGTGGGGGAGGGGAGGAGTGGGGGAGGGGAGGGAGGGGGGGGAGGGGAGGAATGGGGGAGGGGAGGAAGGGGGTGAGCGGAGGAGAGAGGGGAGGGGGAGGGGGCCCCGGAAGGATGGGGCACACAGCGGGGTGACTTGTGCGCCTTAGTCACTGTGAACCCCATAGTCTCACTTGTGTCTGAGGGGAAAGGGTGGGGAATGGGGGGTGCGGAAGGAAACGGGGAGAACGGGAGGCAAATGAGAGAGAGGAGGGGTGGCGGAGAGAGTTTGTGGGGGGGAGGGGGGGGGAGGAGAAAGGGGAGGGGGGCGAAGGGGGGTGCGGAGGAGGGGAAGCGTAGGGGAGGCGCGAGGAGGGGGGAAGGTCACGGAGGAACAGGGGGGTGACTTGTGTGGCTGTTGGTGGAAAGCCTCGCTCGTGTGAGAGGGGCGCGCATGGCAGACTTTTGAAACATCTCAAAAGCCTCGCTCGTGTCAGAGGGGCGTGCATGGGGGAAAGGGGGACGGAGATGGGGGGCGTGGGAGAGGGGAGGGGGGACACGAAGAGCGACGAGAGTAGTCATTGCCCAAGATTTAGGGTTCCCTCCAGCCTTCCTCCTAACCCAAGGTCAATGTTATGTTGTCCCTCCCCTTGTCGTTTCCGTCTTCTGATCTTCCTCTTACCCATCGCGTTGCCGCCAGCGATCGGACCTCCCGCCTCGCCGGATGCATCGGCGCCTCCCACGGCGGCTGAAGCGGCGGAAAATCCGGCGGCCGCGACGTCCTTAGCGGCTCCCGCGGAGAATGTCGCGGCGGAAGGCGCGGCGACGTCCCCCATGTCCATGTCGCCAGCCCCGCCCTGGTTCTTCGCCTTTCGCTTCTTCACCATTTTCGTGAGGGGGGAAACACTAAAAGATAAATAATTTAGGAACTGCCGTACATTAAAAGTAGCGAGACTTTACAGCACTGGTATCCGCGGGCTATCAACTAGACACCCGGAAGAAACAATTTGGGACCTAACAACTGCAGGGGAGGGACTGAAAATGAAACGAGCATTTTTAATCAAGGAGAAGTTGTGAAGAGGGTGGTTATCGTCCGCGTTTGTGGTTTTGCCTTCGAAAAATTGCGGAGCAAGATGAGCTGTTTTTGTTATTTGTGGAATAATAAGGCCTACACTTTAGTAAAAATGTTGTTTGATGGTACGTAACGGTTTTGTTCGGTAAAACGTGGTAGTGGCTACAAAGGCCTCGCCAGAGTCAGCGAAGCCACGCTGGATTCGTTGCAATTGGTTAGTTGGTCATTCAGTAGCACGTGGCGTCACCTAACTGTTTCGGACCATTTTTGGTTGCTTGAGGTCGTCCGTCGTCTTAGTCAGCGCATTGCTTGCTTGCTTGGAACAGAATGTTGCTTCAACAGCCCGCCAACGATGGTTACGAAATTGCGAACAACTTTTCGCCACCGAACCCCGCCCCAAAGGACCCCAACTAGCGCCCCCACGGACCACTACAGTAGCGGGTTACGAACAACGCCCAGTTTTCGCTCGCCGTCTTGAGTGGACTGGAATCTGAAACCCTAGTTGTTGCACACGACAGGATCGTCGTGAGGGGAAAGATGTGGCGCCGTCCACTCGCCCCCATCTCTCACGTTGCGCACCATGAAGCGCATGAATAGCTTCATGTCACTTCTCCGATCTGAGTCATGTTGTTGCCGCCACCCTGAATGGTGAAGCCTTCCATTTTTGGATCGCGAAGCCAGTCAATCCCGCCTATCGGAATCACCTAGAGATTGCTTCGTCGCGTCCTATCTCACTGGCGTGTCATTGCTTGAAACCGATTCGTTGCAAGCGAATCGCTGCCATGTCGGACCAGCACGGCATCCCAATCGAGATCTTCTTGGATCCTGCGAATTCCAGTCCGCCGCGGGAATCCTGATGGAATGACCTGTTGAACGTCATGATTGGTGGCGCGCCGGTCGCCTCGGGAGACGCGGCCAACGAACTGCTCGAGGCGACGTTCGGGGACGAAGCGGATGACGGGCTCCCCCCGGAGCGCTACGATTTCGACCGCGCTCAAGCATCGTCTACTGACGTGTTCACCACGTGGGGCATTCAGCCTGCTATTGGCTTTTCTGATCCTCTGTGCGCGACCCACACCGCGAATCCCGCCGCTATAGGTGGTGATTCTGCTCAGCGGACGGGGACTCCGCGCCTGGGATTGGAATCGGCATCGGCAGGCGACGCTACGGCAGAGCAGCAGCACGAAAGTCAGGGCGGTGGCGGTGGCGTTGGCGTCGCTGTGGGTGATATTGCTGGTGCTGGTGCTATTCTTAATGGCGATACTATTGCAAAAGGCGACTCGGCGGGAGAGCAGCAGCGCGGGATTCCTGGCGTTGGCGTTGCCGTCGGTGGTATCTATGCTACTTCTATTGTCTCTGCTAGTGAAGACGCGGTCGCCACAGGAGACGCAGCAGCCATGGGAGACCCTGCCGCCATTGCAGAGGCCAACGAACTTCCAAGCGGGGGAGCCACCGCGCCGTCAGAACTTCCGCAAGACCTTCTCGAGGCTCGCCAACTGCTCGAGCTTTTCCGAGTGATGAAGGTTGAACAAGAAGCTCAATTTGAAGGACTCTCCCTGGCGCGCTACGGTTTCTACGAAGAAAATGACCGCACTCAAGCATCGTGTGCTGACGTGCTCACCGCGCTGGGCATTCAGCCTGCTAGCGGTTCTTCTGATCCTCTGTGCGCGAACCACACCGCGAATCCCGCCGCGGTATGCGGTGAATTTGCTCAGAAGACGGGGACTCCACGTCTGGGAGTGGAATCCGCATCGGCAGGTGACGCCACGGCAGAGCAGCAGCACGAAAGTCAGGATGCTGGCGTTGGCGTGCCGTTGGAGCTGGTGATGGCGGTACGGGACTGACCATCACCGGACTGCTGCAGCGGAGAAAGCGGCACAGAAGACAGGCGGGTGCGAGTGGTAGCAACGACGGCGTCAGGGCTGCGTCGAACGCCAACATGCAGCGAAGTCCGGCGCTGGGTAACATGCATTCGCGCGGGGACACGGCGAGTGATGCGATTGGTAGCAGCGACGTCGCCAGGGCTGCATCGACCACCAGCATGCAGCGAGATTTGGCGCTCTCACCCTTGCAGTCTCGGTGTAATTCCCAGAGCATTCGTTCGAGTCGAAAGGTCCGCGCCCCTCTCTTCAATCTGGATTCTGCTCAGAACATAAGCAACAATCTCCTGGCAGATTTGCGACACGCCTTACTACCCCTTCAACCGCGAGCATTAAGATGGACCGGAGGCGCTTCATTCCCTGCAGAACAGTCGACTTTCGAAAGGGTGCAGCCGGAAGAAGCTTCCAGGGGGGGAGGCAAACGAAAGCTTTCAGAAGAAAAAAACAGGGAGATACGGCAGAGGGGAAATAGGAGGGCGCGGGTCATGAAGAGTGATGGTCGCTTTTCCGGTGCTACCACCCCAACCACCTCTACGACGACAATGACCCCGTCCACGTCAGCACATGCCACTCCTAGCGCTGCTGAGTCTGCCGCTTCCGATTCAGATGCGTCTGCAGCTGATATCACGTCTCGGGGCCCGAGTGGTGCGAACTGCACGTGGCGCAACGATGGAAACAAGGTCATAAAACAGGCAGGGGGGGCTTTTTTGAGGAAGTACTACCGCTACAAGGTCTCAGGCTGTCCGGCGAAGATGTACGTTAATGATGATCCGGGGCAGACAATTACGTTTCCTGGCGAACATAATCATCAGCTATAACCGTAGATGATGTTCCCGGGCAGTCAATTACGTTCCAGTACAACTTCGCATGTTTTGCTTCTGATGTTTTGTTCATTTGTACAATAATGTGTTGGGTTGCCTTTCTAGTGTAATGCTTTTGCTCGTAACAAATTGATGACACGATGGATCACACCGACTCATGTTTTTACTTACGCGCAGCAAGGAAGTGAGGACTTGAGGCGAAAGAGAACCCGCGGGGAAAAACGAGTCCGCTGTGGACGATACGGTGGAGAGAGGGGGAAAACAAGCAAATGTCGTGGTTGTGGAACAGATGCCGTCGTATTCATTCCCGTTATAGTCACACTCGCTTGAGTCGTCCTCAGCTGCTTGCAGTCCGAGCGGCGGCTGCTGTTTCCCCGGGGGCTTGCTAGCCGGCTGACACTCCAAATGCTGTTCCGTCAAATCGTACGAAGAGAGGGAAAGAGCGAGAGCGGGATTCTGCAGCTGGCTGATGGATCGCATATATTGTAGTGCACCCGTTGGTTTTAACGGTGGTCCTTGCATCATTATCGAGAAGATTATGCCGACTAATTCAGGACGTGGAGCAACACATGTGAAAGGAATGGAAGCAGAAGGAGAGACTCCAAAATAAAGGACGTTCCTATGGTTGCTAACGTGTCTAAAGAAAGTAATCGCAGTAGTAATCTCTGGACGAAACAGAACTAACTGTCAACTTACTCTCGACCTACTTATAGTAGAGCCTTAATATTGCCGGGCTTTTTGAAAAGGGCGCTTCGGTGGGGTGGTGGTCGATGCGCGGCTTGGGTTTGGAGGAGGCACATTTGTAGTGGCGTCGACTCGGCACGAATTTGAATTTCCAGCGTGTTGAATCTCAAATGAGCATCATGTGTACTGTATTTGTTTCGTGCCGAGCAGGTGACAAGCTAGAGCGAGGCATACGTGGCAGGATAGTTCAGGTTTGGTGATGCACGAAGCTGTTCCGCCGTTGGATCCACCCTGAGCAAATCCGGGTCCCACCGAGCCAAAATCAGTTTTACGTGCTGGCCGTGATGTTGACGGAGCTCTCCTCTCCACCTTCCAGTCACGTCACGACGTTTTCTTCGCCACTGCCACTGCCTCTCGCCACTACCACTGCCTCTCGCCACTGCCATTGCCTCTCCCACTGTCATTGCACAACGAATGCGGTCGAGCACGATGGTGGGCATTCTAAATCGGTTTGTTTGTTTGAAGGCCCAGGACCGCGCGACTCGCCGCTTTCATTAGCAGTGATGCGTGAACTGTTGAACCGCAAACGCATGAGGGAGCTCAGATGAATGACGACGGTTCTGTGAGGTACAACGTGGTGGGGTATACCGAGTCTTTCCCTCCGTCGACGAATCTGGGTGGACGAGATGCTCCACGTGTGATTGACCCCCAGATCTTTGGAGTCGGACCATCGTTGGTTGCTTGTCGTCCAAGTCAACGCAAAGCTTTCATTCTGATTGGTGTAGTTGGTTGAACAAATCACGTTGCTCTATTACGATGTTCTTTCTACAGTACAACCTGTGAACCATTGTTTCTGTACACGAAATCACTAACACAAACGACAGCTTCAGGTGACTACACAATTGCGATGAAGCAGGGCTCCTCCACCCTCCAACTGGGGCTTCGAGCAGGAGCCCTAGTTTCACAGCTGTTTTAGGCGAGGCTTCTGATTTCGAACTACCAAATAGTGCCCACTTGTCGTACGCTTTCGTCGACGACAAAAATTGCCAGGGGAAAGAAATGCTACTTGGAGGACATGCGGCGCGATGCATTTCACTTCACACCCTCCCTGAGTCCCTGTATGCTTGCTTGCTCACCAAGGAATTCCAAGTTGACTTGGGCTTCAGCGCACGAGCGGAAACGCTGGCCGCCAGGGCAGAAGGCGGCGACGCTTGGAGGGGAGTGTCCTAACGGCACGCATTTACGGCACCTTCGTGGCATTTTCCTCCCAGTCACTGCCTCACACACTATAGATAAATAGAGGAACAGATGCGCCGCATTCCTTTCACCCAGTGCGTTAGGGTTTGGTTTACCTCTTCTCACCAATACAGTATGAGTTCTGCAGACCTATGAGTTTCCTCGCTCGCCATTATTTTCAAATCCTGACGAATTTGTCAGCGCCTTATTGGATGCGAAGCCTGTCAACCTCGCTTCGCTGACTGAATCGGCGATCGCTTCGCATCCCATCCCATCCATCCCCCTAAGCCGAGCTGCTGCTGCTAGCGTTTCACTGCCACTTCGACTAATGGATAGTACTACACTGACAAACTTGCTTTTTAAGAGCGCTCCTTCTGATGCAGCGCCCGCAAATCCCGCTACTGAGGGGGAGCTAGATCCGGTAATGACTCCCGGAATGAGTTGGATGTCCGAATTCGAAATGCTGATGGGCGGCAATTCTGCACAGCAGACAGGGACTCTGCTTCCGAGAATCGAATCGGAATCGGCAGGCGACGCGATGGCAGAGAACCAGCACGGGAGTCAGGGTGCTAGCGTTGGCGTTGCCGTCGGTGATAGTGATGGTGCTGATGCTGACGATTCTAACACCGATGCTATTGATAATGCCAACGCTGGTGCACAAGGTGACACCACGGTAGAGCAGCAGCACGGGAGCCAGGGCGCTGGCGTTGGCGCTGCCGTCCGTGATGTTGCTGGTACTGATGCTAACGATGCTGACGCCGATGCTACTTATGATGCCAATGCTGATGCAAATGGTGACACCACGGCAGATCAGCAGCACAGGAGCCAGGATGCTGGCGTTGGCGCTGCCGTCGGCGATATTGCTGGCGCTGGTGATGGCCCTGGTGATGGCGCTGGTGATGGCGCTGGTGATGGCGCTGGTGATGGCGCTGGTGATGGCGCTGGTGATGGCGCTGGTGATGGCGCTGGTGATGGCGCTGGTGATGGCGCTGGTGATGGCGCTGGTGATGGCGCTGGTGATGGCGCTGGTGATGGCGCTGGTGATGGCGCTGGTGATGGCGCTGGTGATGGCGCAAGGGGGCTGACAATCTCAAAAGTGCTGGAGGCGATAAAGCGGCAGAAAACACAGGCGAGTGCGAGTGGCAACAGAGCGGTCGCAAGGCCTGCGTCGACCGCCAACATGCAGCGAACTTCGGAGCTGGAGAACATCGGGTCTGTAAGTTTTAGCGGCTCACCTTCTACCCCATTGAGCATCCATCGAGAGTCCCGCCCCCCTCTTATCCCTCTGCGGTCTACTCAAAACGTGAGCCAAAATCACCCGGCAGAAGTGCCACACACCTTACCCCTTCAACCACAAACACTGGGATTGATCGGAGGCGCTTCACCCGCTGCAGGACAGTCGGCGTTAGCAATGGTGCAACCGAACGCGCCCACATCAGCACCTTCCACTACTATCGCTGCTGGTACGTCTGCAGCTGCAAATTACACGTGGCACAACAACGGAAACAAGACCATTCATCCGACAGGTAAACCCCCCTTCAAGAGAAAGCACCTCCGTTGCAGTCAATATTCGACTGGCTGTCGGGCGAGGAAATACGTTGATGATGTTCCCGGGCAGAGGACAACGTTTAAAGGGGACCATAACCACTTAACGGTTGATAATGCGGCCACGAGGACAGAAAGACAGGATCAAACGCAGGGTTTGTAAGGCCCAATACTGACTCGATATTCTGTGCTACTAAAAAGGGTTCACGAAATACTTCTTTTTTCTTTCTGCTTGAGTTGGGTTGACACCGAGTGCAATAGATTGATCACATGGTTCATTGAACAGAGGATCGTTGATTCTCTTACATACAGCACGTAAGTTGGGGAAAGGGAGCCTACAGGCGATAGAGAACCCCCTGGAAAAGGCGTGCCCGCTGTGGAAGGTGCAGTGGCACGAGGGGGGGGACAAGAAATGGTGGCGGATGTGGAGCAGCTGTCTTGCACAATCACGACCGTCGTAGTCACACTCGCTTGTGACGTTCCACCTCCAGCTGCGCTTCCTCCGTGGGCTTGCGGGTCTGGTTAACTCTCCAAATCTTGGTTCCGCCGAAATCGTGCAACAGGGGAAGAGAGAGGAAGCGGGCTATTGCGTCTGGAGGTTACGTCCCCTAATCGTAGTGCACCCATTGATATTAGCCGTGGCCCTGGCGTCTATATTGAGAATTGTATGCCGACTAATTAAGGACGTTGAGAAACACAGGTGCACGAGATAAATGAGAAAGATGTGAGACGTTCGTAGAAAAAGCTCACGAGGGTGAATATAGTTATCGTAGCAATAGTTCCTCCGGACGGAACAAAACTGACTATATGCGCCACCTGCTCTCAACCTTGTTGTGCTTGACCTCCCAAAGACTTCTAGGGAGCCTGTGCTTGATGCGCTCGGTTTGGCAGGAGCCGCGTTTCTATTTCATGTCGACACGAATCTGCATTTTGGAAGTGTTGAATTCTGAAGAATTGTTTCGTGCGCAGCAAGTGAGAAGTGACTTTCGCGTGTGAGGCATACGTGGCAGGAAAGGTCGTGGTGCGACGAAGCTGCTCCACCGTTAGATTCACCAGGCAAACCCAGTTTCCACCGATCGGAAATCCGTTATACGTGCTCGGCGTGGTTCCGTGGTTGTTGACGAGCTCTGCACCTTCCTGTCATCTCATGGGGCTTGGAGGGTGGTAACGAACAACCAAACGAAATTGTCGACAGTTACTTGTTTCTGGCGACTGCGAAGGGTTGTTACTTGATTTGCCTAGCCTGCTAAACACCCCCGAAGGGTGGAACTAGGGCTACCAAGTCTTCCCCAAGGCTGGATGAGGTTGAGTGTGGTCCGCTTCTTTCAGACCGTACCCCTGCAAATGTTTCGGTTCGGAATCGGACGAGGTTGAGTGTGGTCTCCCCTCACCATTTTCAGACCGTCCCCGCCAATGTTTCGGAGTCGGTCGGACCACAGCCTTGGTCGGGTCGGTTCGGTTGCTTCATCAGCAGAGTGCAGTACTTCGGTATCTGTCGGACCAAAGAATTGTCAAACCCAGTCGGACCGAAGAACTGAACTGTTGACGAGATATGATGATGTTCTGCCACTGGGAGTCCATCCGAGCCCTGGTGGGCAAACCCACCAGGTCCCTCTCCTGGTGGGTTTCGAATCCACCAGGACGCGGAGCTGGCGGAAGCATTCTGCCCGGGGCAAGAAAAACTATTCCCCATCGCGACCGGCATGCCGTTCGGGAGCCTCAACCCTGAAATTTTAGGGTTGATGCTCCCGAACCGCATGCCTTCCGACTGGGTTTTAGTTTTTATTGCCCGCGGGCAGCTCGCTTCCGCGAGCACGCGGAAGCGATCGCGGATTCGCCCGTGTTTCTCCGACAGGGCGCGTATGAACATTTGAAGTCATCGGACTTGTCGCAATCTGGAAGCGATGTGCTGTGTGTGAGTAGATATAGTTTCTCATCGCATACAGTACTAAGGAGCACGTAAATTGGCGGTCGAAAGTTTGACCTTGTTTCTCGCCAGCGCTTCTTTTGATGCTCTGCCCGCGAGTTTAGTAGCGGCTAGTACTCAACGGAAGCTGAATATGGCAATGACTCGGCCTTTGCTGCAGGGGATGCTAGACTTAGATCTCGTGCTATCAATAGGCCGCGGCGAATACGAAACGCCGATTGTAAGCGGCGAATCAGAAACGCCGATACTAAGCGGCGATTCTGCTCAGCGGACGGCGATTTCGAGAGTCGAATCCGAGTCGGCGGGTGTCGCGACGGCACCGCAGCAGCACGTAAGTCAGCCTGAGGCTGCTGGCGCGGCTCGTGCTGCCGTGGGTGATGTTGCTCGTGCTGATGCTGCCGATGCTGACGCTGATGCTACCTATGATGCCTTTGATGATGCAGAAGGCGACGCGACGGCAGCGCAGCAGCACGTGAGTCACGCTGCCGCCAGAGGCGCTTGCGCTGCCGTCGGTGATGCTGCTGATGATGCTACCGCCGATGCTAAAGCTGATGCTATTTCTAACGCCGATGCTGGTGCAAAAGGTGCTGGCGCTGGTGATGGCGGTACGGGGCTGACCTTGACAGGACTGTTGCAGCAGATGAAGCGAGAGAAAAGACAGGCGAAGCTGGAGAAAAGAAGCTCTGCGCGAGTCGGTAACAGCATGTCACGCAGGGACACGGTGAATGAGAAGGGAGAATTAGGCAGCACCGGCACTGCTTCTTGTGAGGGTGGCAGCGGCACAGCGGTGGTAACCAGGGGCATGATGGGGGAGACGGCGAGAGAGGAGGGCGGATTAGGCAGCAGCATGGGAGGCGGCAACACAGTTTCTGCACACCTCTCACGGAGTTGCACTGCTGTTTGTGAGGGCGGCAGCAACGCTGCTCCTTGTGAGGGCGGCAGCAACGCTGCTGCTGGGGACGAGGGCGGCACAGTGGTGGTTACCAGCGGCGCGGGAGACAGCGGCAGCGGCGCGGGAGACAGCGGCAGCGGCACAGTGGTGGTGGCTGGCAGCAGCATGGGAGACAGCGGCAGCGGCACAGTGGTGATTACCAGCGGCACAGGAGACGGCGGCAGCGGCAGCGGCGCATTGGTGGTGGCTGGCAGCAGCATGGGAGACGGCGACCGAGCCTCTCCGCACCTCTCGGAAAACCCAAAGGAATTAGTAAGCGAGACTGCTCTCGTCGCGCCCGAGCCTCCTGCATCTCCCGACCCGGTATATTCTGGGAAGAAAATCCGGTTGCTCTCTGCAGAGGAAGGAGCGCGGTTGGCTGCCCAGCGACGCTCGTCATTGGGAACGCCAGGGTGCGAGGGAGGTGCCATGCTTGGGGATGGAAGCTTCATTGAACCCTCTGACTCCCCGTCACACCCTCTGAGCATCTGTCAGCCGTTTCACCCTTCTGTTTTTCCTCTGGAGCCTGCTTGGAATCCATTCTACAGCCACCCAACTCAACTGCCATACACCCCATACGCTTTATTGAGAAACCCTTTGTTTGCCGGTAGCACCGCCTTCCCTTTTCAACTGCAAGCAATGGGATTGGGCAGAGGTGCTTCAACCCCTGCCGTGCAGCCAGCTTCAGCAGCAGTGCAGCCGGAGGAAGCTTCCAAGCTTGAAGTTTCCAAAGTGGGGGAGAACCTAGTAGAGCCTAGGAAAAGGAGAATACGCGAGATAAGGGAGAAGGGCAACAAGCAGGCGAAACTCATCAAATCTTCTGCCTTCACTTCCAGTCCTACCACCCCAAGCACCCCCACCACCTCACCCACTCCATCCGCATCAATTCACTCCACTCTAACTGCTGCTGAATCTGCTGCGTCAGGTTCAGATGCCTCAGCTTTGCATGGGTCTGCAGCTTTGCATGGATCTGCAGCTTTGCATGGGTCTGCAGCTTTGCATGGATCTGCAGCTTTGCATGGGTCTGCAGCTGCAAGCACGAGTTTGAGTGGTGAAACCCACCGGTGGCACAACAATGGCAACAAGATAATCCATCGGAAAGGCGAAGCTTCCTTCTTGAGGAAGTATTACCGCTGCAGTCAATATTCGGCTGGCTGTAGGGCGGTGAGAACCGTTGATGTTGATGGGCTGGTACCGAGGATTACGTTTAGTGGCACACATAACCATGCATAGGTCGCGCGAGGAGAGAAATCCAGCGCTGTTTACAGGGTTTGTGGAGCCCAATGCATGCTCTAGGATCTGCATGCTGTAGGATCTGCATGCTGTAGGATCTGCATGCTGTAGGATCTGACACTAAAACGGCCATTTTTTGCTACCCTAGGATGCTACTGAGATAATACTGGTACCATAGTACCGTAAGGACTTGCGTGATTCAGCTAGTCACAATCTGTGTTATTGTTGTACTTCACACTAATCCACTGCGTCGATACCATGTGCATGTCAGCATGATGATACCCTGGAATATAACAAGGCCTTTTCAGTGTCCGCATGCATGGCATCTTCGCGACTTATTCTGTGCCTTGGTCTCTGTCTGTTCAGAGGAGAGCAACACCAACTCCAAGGGCGGGATTGAAACTCTGAGCTATTCTTGGCTTAGAAAAGACAGGGTTTGGTTTGGTTTGGTGGAGGTGGATGGATGTGCGCGTTTCCGCTTGATACCAACGCGCAGAGCACCATGGGTACGGTATTGTGTGATGGCGCGCAGAAGAAGAAAGAACGCAAGACACCAGGTCCAGGGCTCTTGCTAGGTTTTGAGCCCGTCTGAAAACATAAATCCCAAAATCTGTTTCGTCTGACGTTCAGATGGGAGAAAAGTTTGGTCTGATTTTTCAGACGAATGAGAAAGGCATGTCTGATTTTCCAGATGAAACGAGTAGTGTTGTCCAAATTGTAGTTGTGTCATGTTGTTTTTATCAGAGCGTCACAACCGAATCATGGGGATGTCGGGCTGCGAGAGGCGGGACAGTGCAGCAGGGGGTTCGGATGCTGAGCTGCAAGAAGGACGAGGGGGAGTTGGGCTGCGAGAGGAACCGGTTTGGGGCTGGGATGTGACTTGTCTGAGCCGTAGGGTGTGTTACAATCCCAAATGGGACTTAGCGAAGGATCGCTCAGGGTTGATCGCAGCGTAGTGTTGCAGCGGAAGATTTGAATCTCAGGTCAGAGTGAATGTAAATGACTGAGTTGATAATGGCATGCATACATCGAGTTTATATAAGAGTACAGGGGAATACGAAAAGACCTAGACTAGCCATGTACTCTAAGGGGTACATTCCCTTATTACAGCAAATTCAAACCGTGCGGCGTGGGAACCCGTTTTGAACCTGTTCCCGCCTTTTTCATTTCAGATGTTTCTGCCTGCATCGGTCTTTGGTCAGACGGTTGCTGCGTCGCTTCGACTCTTCTGACTCCTCGACTTCATACTCGGTAGAGTCGGCTCCTGCAGCATACAGGAATGCCTTACTCATAAAACTTCATATCGTAACACTCCCCTTCATTCCTGGGCGCAGAGGGAGCTGACTCGCTTGACTACTCCGGTGAGGTCAGAGCAGTGCTTGTACTGCTGACGTGGCAAGCGCTTGGTGAGGAAGTCTGCTGCCATCTCGGTGGTCGGGCAGTAGGCGAGGTCAACTTTGCCTTGGTCAATTTCGTCCTTGACGAAAAAATACCGAAGTGCGATGTGCTTTGTGCGATTCACGAAACCTAGCTTGTTCGCCATCCTGATGGCACTCTGGTTGTCGCAGTGAAGGCGAAAGGTGGGCGAAGTTGGAATTTTCGCTTCCTGCAGCAGCTCCTGCAGGTACAGCCCTTCACGAACTGCTGCTGTCGCGGCGATGTATTCTGCTTCAGCCGATGACAGGGCAACCAGCTCCTGCTTCTGTGAGTTCCAGGAGATTGGCCCAGTTGGTTCCAGGCGAAAAACGAAGCCGGTTCGGGACCGTCGATTTTCAGGATCAGCTGCATGATCTGCGTCCACGTAACCGTTGAGATTGAAGGAGGTCGTCGTCAACGTGGAGTAGGAGAGCCCAATGTCAGGTGTGGAGATGAAGTACTGCAGGGCGCGTTCCAGGTCCAGCTGTTTCTCTGCTACTGGCTTGCGGGAATACTGTGCCAGTTGGCTAGCGATGTACGAAAGGTCGGGTCGGCAGCTGACAGAGGCGAACAGCAGGCAACCCAGTTGCTGCTGGTACAGTTGAAGTCCTGCGGGTGACAGTGGTTTGTTGTCCGGTTTGTAGTTGGTGCTGGGGCTGCGGTAGGGAGTTGAGAGTGGTGCGGGGTATATGTTGAAGCGTTCCCTCAGCTGCTCTGCGTATTTGGAGGCTGACAAGTGAATTGCTTCTGGCGCGTAAGTGATGTTTAACCCCAAAAACTGCTTCACTTCGGGATTGATGGTGATGTCCACGCGCTGCGCCAGGTTCTCCTGAAACTGGTCCAGGAGTTTATTGCAGGTCCCCGTGTACAGCAGGTCGTCGACGTAGACTGTCAGGAGGATGTAGTCGCCACTGAAGTGAAGACGATACATTCCCGGGTCGTGTGGGAGCTGCTTGAAGCCGATTTCGAGGAGGATTTTGTGCAGGTGCTGCTGCCAGAGGCGAGGCGCCTGCTTGATCCCGTAGAGGGATTTCTTCAGTTGACAGACCCTGGGATCTCCTTCCCCGTAGGTGTGCGGCTGCTCCACAAAGATGGTGGCGTCCACCAACGCGTACAAGAACGCGTTCTTTACGTCGATCCGTCGCAGTGGTAGGTGCTTCGCGGCGGCAATGGCGAGTAAAATCCGGACTTAGGTGTGGCGGTTGACGGGAGCGAAGGTTTGGTCGTAATCGATGCCATGGCGCTGATCGTACCCACGTACGACCCAGCGTGCCTTAAAACGCTCGATAGTGCCGTCAGCGTTAGTTTTCAGGCGAAAAACCCACTTTCCACTGAGCACCCTCCTCCCCTTCACTGCTGCACGATCGACTAGGACCCAGGTGTCTCGTGATTCCAGTGCCTTCAGCTCCGCGTCCATCGCGGCACGCCACTCCTTGGCGTGAGGACCGGTTAGGGCCTGGCGAGGATTCTTGGGCTCCACGGCTCGTGCAAGGGTAGAGACGGATGTGTGCAGGCCGAGAAGTTGAAGGCCTGACACATTGGTGGTGTCTGTGTTGGTGACTTCCACCACGTCGTCGTCTCCGCTCTCATAGCCGGGTGCTGCGGTGCTTGGCTCTGCTTGGCGCCGTGATGGTCCTGGCGCGGGGTCGTCATCACTGTCACCGTCGTCGTCGTCGTCGCGCGGGCGAGGTGGGATGCTGGGATGTTCGTCGGTGTCGTCGCGGTCCAGTGCGGCTGCTGCTGCTGCGTCTTCTGGAGTCGCGAAGCTGCGGCCGCTGTTGACATAGCCGCGTGCCTGGTTTCGGCGCTCGTCCTCGATCCACTGCTTCAGGGTGAGTCGTTCGTAGAAGAGGATGTCACGCGGGGGAACGATCTCCTTGCTATCCATGTCAAGAATAAGCCAGCCTTTCTGCTCGTGACTGAGCCCCAAGTGAACTCCCCAGCGCGCACGATGAACGAACTTGCCGATTGTTGCCGAGGTCGGCCGATATTGTACCATGCACCCTCAAACCCTCAACAAGGAGGGGTCTCCCCTTGAGCCGATCCACTTCATGTGAGGGGACAGGTTATCCCTGTTGGCGGTGGTAGAGAGGAGGTTGTGCAGACGCACCGCATGGTTCATAGCGTAGGGCCAAAATTTCTTTGGCAGCCCGGACTGATTCATGATGGCGCGGACCTTGGTCATGAGCGTGCGATTGACCCTTTCAGCGACACCTTGCTGCTGGTGAGCGTAGGGGAGAGAGATCTCATGCTTAATCCCCTTCTCGGTGAGCACGCTCTCCAGCTCTTTGCTCCGAAATTCCTTTTCCCCATCACTCTGCCAGATCTTCAGTTTCCTCCCCGACTGTCGCTGCGCGTGCGCGAGGAAGATGCGGAACACCTCCGGAGCCTTGGAGCGGGTGTCAACGTTGGCGATCCACACGTGGCGTGAGTAGGCATCGATGAAGGTGAGGGTATACTTCTCGCCGTTAAGTCCGTCGCATGTGAGCACGATGAAGTCACTGTACACCTTCTCCAGCTTCTTGTAGCGGTTGGTGCTCGGCTCCAGAGAGGGATAAGCGGTGTGGGAGAGTGCAGCTGTGGGGCAGACAGTGCAAGTGGTTGGATGGGGGGTGGTGTGCTGTAATTCCGTCCCGTCGGGGCGCAGTAGTGCTCCTGGCGGAAAAACCTTTGCGCGGAGGCAGTTGGCGAGTGTCTGGCGCGAGGGGTGGCCCATCCGCTGGTGCCAGAGATCGTCCTCAGCGCGGATGCCGGAGGTGCGCTTGTAGCGGGTGTGGTACTCTGCTGCCTCCTCCGCCGTGAGTTCCGGGATCTGGAGTGGAGGTTCTTCCTCTTCTCCTGGTTTTGCTTTGTTTCTCTCCTCCTCTGCTTCTGCTTCTGCGGTTGCCTCCCCTTCTGCAAATGCCGTTGTGAGGTAAAGCGCGAGAAATTCGCGGTCGGGGATGATGGTGAGCGGGGTTGTGGTTCCTTCGATGAAGCGCGCAAACGGATCTGGGCGGGAGATTGGACCGAGTGAGTCCCGCGGAGGGGTTGGTGGTACGTTCCCCTCCTCAATCTCCGACCAGGGATCGTT